TTCACTGAAATGTGAGGTATTCATATTTAAGGTTCTCGTGATGACAGACGCGTTAAAGCTGATGAATACTTTGCGAAATAGGCGACCTTGCCGAATAGTTTCCTGAATAGGAAATGAAGTACCGCGAGGTAACTGAAAATGAGTAATGTGGGATTACACTCGAACAGAGTTTACACCAAGCACATGAGATTTGTCGGTCGAGTGCAACCTATCTCCATGTTCCCGCTTAGTTTGCATGACACGCAGTTTCTCAGCCAAGGAGTAGCCCAGTCAATTGGTGTACAACATTCTGGACCATCCGATTCGCGCTTGCGTCGTCTCTTGGGTGCCACGTTGGTGAACTTGCTTGTTCCCAGACCAGAGGGAAAGCCCAGCAAGCTGGCTTGCTGGGCTCCCATCATCCGAGCTAATATAACAGAGTTTACACAGCTTGAAACAGTGCGCGCAGCATATTCACGACAGCCTCGCAGGCTGGCGATGGCTACATGTACATCTGAACTGAGTCGTGTAATTCAAAGGAGCCTCTTACTATTGTGCAAATCCAGCCACGTACCGTAACCTCCGGTCTAGGTTGGCTTGCGCAACTTCTCAGCAGGAAGCACCGGGGGCGAGCGGGGGATAGAGATTACGAAATAGCTCTTGCAGACTTGTGTGTGTTCGTCTTATATCATCCCGAGGAGATGGCTCCGGGTCTCGTGTCATAGATGATCATCGCCCGCTTCCTGTCAAAGATTTTTATGTCCTTCTGTGCTCTCGTTATCTCGGACCTGTCATCTCATCACTCATCAGTCATTCTATTGTTGACAACCTAAAGCATTGTCAGCATCTTACACTGATCTGATCAAGACGATCAACAACGGCGGTACAATGGCGTCGGCTTACATACTCGCCGTCTACCTCCTAGTGGTTGTCCTTGCCGGACTTCAACTCAAGCAGAAGATCAAAGCTCTCAAGTCTCCTCTAAGGAAACTCCCTGGGCCATGGTACGCCCCTCTCACAACACTGCATCTACGTTGTCTCTTTTCGACAGGCACCATCTGGAAGTTGGTAGAAAGAAGCCACAACAAGTATGGGTCAATCGTCCGACTCGGCCCCCGACAGGTCTGGATCTCTGACAAGGAGGCCATGAAGCAGATCTTGGTCAAGACAGATCTACCCAAAGTTGCCATGTATGCCGAAATTTCCAGAGACAAGTTCAGTCCCGGCCTTTTTGGCGAGATGTAAGTCGTTCTTTTTTTTTCTGCCCGCAATGTGCACTTGCAACATGAGCCTAATCCAACGCCTCTGGAAACAGTCGCCAAGAGCCGCACAGGCGCCTTAAGCGTTTCCTGTCTCCTGCTTTTACGGTCAACTACATCGACAACCTTGAGATGTTCTTTGAGAGCACCGTTCGTGACGTGCTCAACAAGTACCAGGCGCAGATCAACGAGGATCCGGTATACCATGCAAAGCAGGGTATCGAGGTCGACTTGATGGATGACCTTCACAACGTGGCCCTTGACATGTAAGCCAATAATTTCACAGATACTTCTGGTTCTCTTGCGCGGCTTCTGACGCGAGTGACAGCATGGGAGAGTGTTCATTCGGCAAGGGGTTCGGACAGACCAACCCCAACAGCTTAATCGAAGATGGAGTCGACGAGAAGATTTGGAAGTCAATCCCTCGCTCCATTTTCGATGGTCTCAGCAAGCGATACCAGGCAAGTCAAGCCTTTTTACAGACGAAGTGTCTTCATTTCCTCGATGCTAACTTGTACAAAGACTGTATACGTCAAGAAATTCTTCCGCGCCCTAGGAATCGATCTGCAATTCGACTGGCCCGCCGAGATGATCACAGCAATTGACGCGGTAGTACAACGACGCAAGCGCACCTCGGACGTCGAGCGCCGAGACCTCCTCCAGCACCTTATCGAAGAGGGCAAAAAGCCTGACACGGGCACTAGCATGTCTGCCCGCGACATTGTCGACCAAATGGCCGAGATCCTCCTCGCCGGTTCCGAAACAACATCCGGCACCATCGGCTGTCTCTTTCTCGAGCTTGCCCGTAACCCCGATGTCCGTGCCAAGCTCTTTGCTTCTCTCCCATGCAAGGGCTTTAACGACGAGATTGTGACGAGCAAATCGGTTCGCAACGAGAAGGAATACGAGTATCTCGAGGCCTGCATCAAGGAAAACCTCCGCTTGCATCCTATTGCTTCGGAGATGGGTCGCCGGACTGGCAATCAGTGGATCAACCTCTGTGGCTATGATCTGCCGCCTCACACAGTAGTCTCGGCTTCGTACCGCGATCTTCACCGCAACGAGGCTTTCTGGCCCCAGGCAGAACGGTTCTGGCCCGAGAGGTGGCTGTCCGAGGACAAGAGAGACGGGGCACCCGCACCTGAGTAGGTCTCAATGGATTCCTTCCCATAACAAAGTCTTGGTACTAACGAAGCTCTAGTATGGACGCGTACTACCCCTTTTCTGGAGGCAAGCATTCGTGCATTGGTATTAAGTAAGCCATAGTACAATGCTTCTCGTTATTATCGAGTAACTGTGCTAATAAAATTGATAAAGCTTTGCGTGGGCCGAGATGAGAATGGTTGCCGCCAATCTCCTACAAAGATTTGACGTGCTGGAAGTTCCGGGTCAAGACATAGACTTCCGCCAGTACATCACCATGCAGTTTGCAACCGGTCACTGGAAAGTTGTTCTCAAGCCAAGAAATTGATTACAAATCAGTAGACTCTTACGAAGAAACGTTCAAAAAAGCATGACTTTTGGCATTTAGATCGGAAAGAATTTATATTATATCTCTCTGGGACGGAGCTGCAGGGTTGAGATTTATGTTCAAGCGATAGCGTTGTAGGCCAACAGAGTCCAAGGCATCGATCTAAGGGCAAACTGCGATATAGACATGAGCGAGATTGGATAAATTTGGGTGACGGTATTGAAGGTGCGCAAGAGCTGAAGAACCAACTATCTAGATAGGCTACCTCTTTCAGCACTTGGCTGACCCCCCGTCCTCGAGTCCTTTGTATCGGTTAACACGGATAAGAGACTTTGCCTGATATACTGCAATAGTCAACACTCCCACCGGCTATGTTGCATTCAACAGCTCGGAGGGACTAGAACAGGAAGATCTTGCAAAGTACCCCAATCCCAGCAATGACCACCAGCTTGACGAGGTGAGGGTATTTCTGGGACACTACGTGGCGGGAAAACTCCGCTCATAAGACACAAACCATGTTCCTTACTGCAACGAAATGCATGTGAAAAGCTTATTCGCGAAGGAGTTTGCAAAGTGCGAATGGTTTATCTGCCCTTGTTAAACCCCCGCCAGGGGTTTGTTGCATGCTATACCGACGGACCGACGTTAACGTCTCAGTAGCATGGACCCTGTTGATTCGGCGTGGAGCAAGCAAATGGCACCAGAAAGCTTATTTCATGGCTACGGTGGGGTAGTTAACACGAGACATATTGATCGAGCCAAAGGTCGCGCGGGGGTAGGGGCTTGGAGAAGATGGCCGTTGGCATAGCCTACTCGATATAATCTAGGCACAGGAATTTCTCCACTCAGTGGGGGAGACAGATTTGAGTGACTCGGAAGTTGGGAGGGGTTTCGGCATCGAAATTGGGCCCGAGAAGACGCTTTCCCCCGGAGGCAGAAGAGCCGGGATCGAGGCAGAACAGCTTGCATCAGGGTCCTACTTTACCTATCTGAGGTAGCAGATCAATGATGGCCGAGTCATTTACTATCATGACCGGCTTTGGTTATCAATTCTAGGAAACTACCACGTCAAAGGGATCTTTACAAGAGCCGAAGAAAGATCTGCAAGGATAATCCGTCTCTTCAGCGAAGTTTGAGCCAAAGATGTAGATCCATCTTATCTACTAACTTCAGCCGGTCTACGAGCATTGCGGCTGCATGTCTCTATCTTAGATATGGAATCAAGCCCGGACATCTAGAACGACTAAAGAAAATTACCAACGCGAGAGTCAAGGATCTCAAGTTCTAGTCTCACATAAATAGCTGGAAGATCAGCTCAAGCGAGCACATGGGATAAGCTTCGAACAACTTCGGAAGACCCTTTGTTATGGGAAGGCCCAGTGCTTTGGCCTCAATTTGCAGCCGACGAGTTACCTTGAATCTTTGGCTTCAGATCGATCATTAGAGTTACTGCGTCGACGGCGGTTTAGTTGCTAATGATGCAGCCCCAAATCGTAGGACCAGCTCAATCTAGCGTGATCCCCAAGCTTAACTCTTCTATTTCATCTGATTTCTTTCGAGTTACAAAATGCTGATGAAAGCCTGCTGATGAGAGGAGCCTAAATCAAAAGCTACAAGCAGTCCACGCTAATCTGGGTAGTGGGCATCGGATTGTCGCTCGCTTTAAGGTCATGCATTCCATCTTGCAATCTGAAGCTAGCACGAATACAAAGACCACCTACTTGAAACTATCTTGACTCTTCTGGAATGGTACTTATATAGAGTATTGGTAAAACAGAACTAGAAAGAGGGGCTGTACGTCTTAATTTGCTCATGAGTCCCATGCAAAAAGCAGAAGATAATGGTCTATTGCTTTTGAGCTATGGAAATTTGCAACCATACATGTACCCTCTAGGCTAGTGAGCACTCTATCATGGTAGTGATCGTGCGGAATTGGAAGAACCGGCTGATTCTCAGACCTGCTTTCCCAAGAATCAACTCCAGCTCTGGCACCGATCTTTCCCTCCCGCCGAAGAAGAACAAAGTGTTCCATGTCATCAAGTTGGCAAGGTCCGGAAGCCTTGACTGTTGGGGAGGTGTCAGAGTAGACGGGGCCGTATTCTGATTGCTGACAATGAATGGACTCGAATTCCAGATCTCGTTGATCACCATCCTCGAACCCGGAGTTCTTTTCATGGAGTTCGCAACGTTGGTAAGTATGTTGATAGCGTCTTCATCATCATACTCGCGCCTGAAACTTGTCAGTATGCCGTAGTGGAGCGGTATAAACGCAATTCAGAAACTCCTATGACTCACAGAACTCCCCTGAGGTACCATATGTCACCCTCTGCTGCGTTGTCTTCGAAGTAGTCCTGTACGACACATTCGACTTTCCCTTCGGCAGCCTTTTGCGCAATATCCTCTGGCAGGCTCTGTTTGGGACGTCAGTACCGGCTTACAGTCTTAGACCACGCGCAACTCACGGTCTTCAGGCTCTCGATGGCCGGCTGAAGGTCCTGAAAGGTCCAATGAAGCTCCGGATTATGCCTCATTATGTCGAATCCACTGTCACCTGGACCGCACCCAACATCAACAACTCGAGCTTTGGGATTCTCATGCCAGGGGTAGTCATTGAGAAGCGCTGGCCTAGTTGTCCTCTATAAAGAACGTGTTGATAAGCCAGAGACAGATTTAATGGCATGCATACCGGAGCACACTTACGTTTAGCCATGGTACAACACCCTTGATCACCTTAAGCGCAGCCCCGGAGTTCTCGGGATGACCAATATGCTCGAAAAATGTTTCGCCATTCTGTGCAACTGTGGAACAGAATGGAGCATCTGTGGCCAGATAAGAGTCTTTGGTCTTGGTGTCTGTCATATGCGACAGCAGACCTGCAGAGCTCCTCAAGCCCTCGTCCGCTCTTTGCTTGTTAGACCATTCACTGATAATGGACACCCAGGACTGTGATTGGAGCTTACAAGAGGGACAGAAATTGAGCAGCACTGCCTTCCTTTTCGAGAGTCTTACTATGCCGCGTATTGCTGAAAACACCTGGCTGCTTTTCTTGGTAGATATACTCAGTAGCCAAGGTTCTCAAGACCCTTCCTGGAATAATAATCAGTGGGATTTGGACGTTAGAAGCGGTGTAGTACAGGCTGCTTATGTACCTAGTTTCTGCTCATTGACATTTAGTCGGCTAGCTAAATCCTCAAGCTTCGCATCGCCCCCAAGATCTTTGATCACATCTGTGATACCAAGGGACACTGCCACATTAAGTGCACTCGTCCGCGCTGGCTGCAAACCCATCTCAAGCAGCTTGATGTGGTTGGGCGTAACCGCTGCATCGAGAGCGCGAACGTCAACGCGAATCTTTTCAATAGCCTCAAATGCTTGCCAAGAGATCAGATGTTCAGGGTCGTCGAACTTTGTAGAAGCTTCCGAGTCCCATACTTGGGGGATTCCTAGGTCGTGTTGTTGGACTTCATGTTCGAGAACAGCAACGTTGTCCCGCAAAGATTGAAGGAGGGTTTGAAGGAAGGACATGACGAATACGTAGGTTCTTTCGGCACCAAGTGAGACGATATGTTTGCAATAGCACGGAAGGTCAAACGTATTTTGAACAGGCCGACGACACCATCTATTGATGTACCCAAAGCCCTCCTATGCATGTGGAGGGGGCGAACCGATGCCTTGTGGGGTAGGTAGGCGGCCTACCCCACAAGCCATGTAAGTAGACGACTTTGGATGGCTCGTTTGAAGATGGTTTAAAGCAACATCGAAGGACCACTCTGAAAGTAAGTCGTTGTCAAATCCCAATCATTACTTGTTCTGAACCCCTTTTCATCAATACCAACTTTCCCCGAAATCCTTCTTATGTCTCGTCCCCTGAAAGTCACGATAGTCGGCGCAGGCCTTGGAGGTCTGGCATGCGGCATTGCGTGCCGTCGTCAAGGCTATGATGTCTTGGTAGTTGATCAACTGAAAGAATTCCTACGCCTTGGTGATAGTATCGGCTTTGGCTCGAACTCGGCAAGGCTTCTTTATCGTTGGGGAGTCGGGTCCAGAATGGAGCCAATTGCAAGTCAGAGTACCGAGATGCGCATCTATAACTTTGATTCTTCCGACAAAGTCCTCGGTATCGACGACCAAATTGGCAAGTCCGTAGATAATTATGGATGCCGCCAAATCATCGGTCACAGAGGCGACTTCCACCTCATCATGAAGGACTTCGCTCTCGAACAGGGCGTCAAAATCCGGCTTGGCGAGAGAGTCGAAGTCTACGATCCCAGTCAACCTAGCATAACCCTTTCCTCAGGAGAAGTAATTCAGTCAGATGTCGTCATCATCGCGGACGGCGTCAGGAGCAAGGGACGCACGACTGTGCTGGGTTATGAAGATAAACCTCAAGCAAGCGGGTACGCCATCTACCGATCGTTCATGAGCGGTGACCTCCTTCGCGACGACCCTTTGACCAGTAAATTCCTCAGAGACGGCGATTCAATCCGATTGTTCCTGGCTAAGGACTCTCACGGGTTCATTAGCACTCTGCAGGGTGGAAAAGAGATCAATGCGGTCTTGACTCACAAAGACGTTGGCGACGTCGCCGAGAGTTGGACTAAAGAGGCCACCAAAGATGATGTATTGGCATGCCTAGAAGGATGGGATCCTGCTGTCAGAAGGGTGTGGGAAAAGATGCCTTCAGTCATTGACTGGAAGCTCGTGTACCGCCCTTGCCTCGACAAATGGGTCGCAGACTCCGGGCTAGTTACTTTGATGGGGGATGCTGCACATCCCTTTCTACCCACTTCGACTCAAGGTGCTAGTCAAGCCATCGAAGACGGAGCCACCATAGCCAAATGTCTCTCAAAATGTGCAGGCAATATCCCCTTAGCCTTGCATACCTACTTCGAAATCCGACACGACTACGTTGCCGAAGCACAGGCGACTGGGATCAAGCAGAGAGAAATATGGCACAACTTGCATGATGAGGACAGCAAAGCTTTCAAGGAGGAATTCGACATCAACGCCACCATGATGCAGAATCTGTATCTTTGGAAAAACGATGCTGAGAAATTGGTCGATGAGAAGTGGGATGAGGTGTCGGAAATTGTCAAGCAAAGGCTTAGTGTTAACAGTGGTTGAAAGGCGCGGACATAGAGAGACTTTAGATAAATAGTCATTGCAAACAAGACCTTGTATCAAATGTTAAAAACACAGCACCTGCTATGATGATATGATATCATTTCAGATAACAGTCCATCTAAGATTCACTCATAGATTCAGTGAACTCGGAGAATCAACACTGCCAAATTCATTGTCAACAGACTTGGATTTCGACTTGACCCACGCAGAGGGATTAGGAATGGCTGGATTCCGGCTTAACCGTGCAAACACGCTGCTGCGAAGCCAAGACATTAGCGACAAGCACTTTCCCACGCTTCGTACAACATCAGAACAGCGGCCCTTGGGAAAGCGCCCCATCTACAAATACACCTGTTGAGTCAGGCCTGAATCAGCACCGCCTACCCCGGGTCCTAGCGTCTCGGATCCCCGCAAACTCCATGTCCGTTCCTTCAATTGCCGAAAGCGCTGAAGACAACTTCCATCTTTCTTGATTCGCCAGTAATATCCCTACTTGTTCTCACCGCATCTGGAAGAAGAGATGAGGACGACAGAAAAGACGGCAAAGAGGTTGTATCAGCGGACATGAGTCGACAACGAGACAACACCCGGTCATCTCCACGAGAGACGAAGAAGTCGACCTTTAGGCGGGGAGTCAGAAGCTGTGAGCACCCGTCCACCTCTCTTAATGACGTAAGAGCAGCTTTCTGACACACCCTGAATATGAAGCAAGTGAAGATGGCCAAGCACAGCCGGGGCGTCCGCGTCCACATACGTGCACCTATTGCCAGAAAACATTTATCAGGGCGGAGCATCTCATACGGCACGTTGCGTCACGTAAGTCTACTGTTCACCTGATCCATCGGATCTTTCAGCTGATCGAAATGGGTCAGATGAGAATCGAAAGCCTTTCAAATGTCTACCCTGCGGCGCTAGTTTCGGCAGGACAGATGTTCTACGTCGACATCAAAAGAAGTGCCCAGGGAAGCCTACTCAAGGTTTACCGACATCACAGCATGAAGAGGGCCAAACTCAGGCCTGTGAAGAACATGATTCTCGAAAGTCACTAGACGATATTTTGATGTAGGTTAGGAAGTTAATTTGAAGTCCTGGTCCTGGGTATTGACATCAAACTCTCAGGTTAGAAGGTAGCTGTCAACCAGTTGATCAGACTGAACCACAAAGAGAAGGTCTCAATGATGTGGAGAATTGTGGTGTGCCCACTGCAGGTGGTGTCATTAACAACCAAAGAGACGAGATCAGTACTGCAAATTTGGCTGTCCCTCAGTGTGGTAGATCTAGTGATGATCCCATCGTAGTTCGCCAATCAGGAGATGAAGATATAGCCGAGTCTGAGTTGAGCTCGCCTCAATCGGATGAAAACCAGAGTGCTACAATAAGCAAGGCCGATCTTGCTCTGGATACCACTATCGCCGCTCAGCAAGTTGACGAAACAGGTCGACTCAGCCAAGGAGCCTCTCTAGAAAACACCGACTCCACCACATCTGAGAACAATCGTGGCTCGGGGGCACAGCACGTCGATCTCCCCGACTTTCTGATGCTCGGAGACTCTTTCATATCTGAGATCCACCCAGACGATTTCGACTTGAGGGGCGTCACAGACTTGATGTTTGACTTCAATACCAACACCATCATCTCACCCCCTTCTGCAGATACATGCATTCTCTTAGATCCAAGTCGACGTGTAAGACCAGTCTCACTATTCTTCGACGCTCCCGAAAGCCTACCTCAGTACCAACCTTCCTATGACACACCTCATCTGATCAGATGCTCGGATGACGATGCCATTGCAGTCAACAACGCTTTTTCCAAGGCAAAGGGCACTACAATTAGTACTTCAGATTCAATCTGTCTCAGTCGCAATCAGATTTCACGTTGGATCAATGCGTACTTCGAACACTTTGATATACATACGCCCATAGTGCATCGGCCGACTTTCATCCTTTCAGCTACTCCAGGTAGGCAACATACACAGCAGGCAGCAAAGAGGCTTGACTAATTAGTTGCGACACTATCTTGCAGCATCTTTGCTTTTGGGCATGCTGGCCATCGGTGGCTGCATTGTATCAGAGCATGGTCCTGCTTCTAAGGCCTATGAAGCTTCCTGCCATCTCCTAGCTCAGGTGCGTAGCTCATCCTTTGTGTCTTTCGTCTCTCTGTGCTCGGTTCTCATACTTCCTCCAGTACGAGCAAGACCTCTTGCAGAGCTCTATCTCAGAGTTGTGGCCAATACAGACTGCTCTATTGTGTATTCAGTTTGGGGCCTTTTCAGCCAACCCCAGGTATGCGCGACAAGCGCAACGACAGTTCTCGCTTGTAACAGATGTAAGTGAGGCGTCCTTGGTCCACCCCTTGTACTGATGTCTTCAAGTTACTGCGCGCAGTAGAAGTTCAAGTTCGCGGAGTCCAGTCAGGTCAGGACCCTGATTGGAAGGACTGGATCTTTATAGAGACTTTAAGCAGGTCAGTGAGCTTATGGTCCTCTACTGATGTAATACGATATCTAACTCCCTGCATTTCTGTGTACAGACTCGCAAGCTGGACTTGCATTCTGAACGCAGCCATATCACTCCTCGATCCCGAATCAACATGTATCGCTGCGCCTCAGGTCACAGCGGAAATGATCGTCCCCTCAAACGACAGCCTCTGGCGAGCACCGTCAGCCGAAGAATGGGCACACAACAAAGAATGGCAGGTGTACAAGCCAGTCAATCTCGTCGAAACCTCGAGACGAGTTTTCACTGGCGAGTTCCCCGCGGTAGCCATGAGCTCATTCGGACTTCTCACGTTGATCGGGGCTCTCGTGGCGAACATTTGTGCCAGAGAACGGTACTCTCCTGAAATGGCACCCATCCTTGATCGTGAATATTGTGCAAAGATGGAGAGGAGCCTTCAAGCCTGGGAGACTCTATGGCGCAGTCACCCTCACGCTGAAGGTACGCAAAGCATGAAGAGCGATCCCATGATGACGGAGTGTCTGTGTCTGCTCAGCTCTGCGTATCACCATCTCTACATGGGTCAGGAGCTCCAGATCTTGAAGAGAATTGCGAAAGAACCTCAATGTCATCTGGCAGTTCCCAATCTTCCAATTGAAAGGAAGGTTCTTGTTGTCATCAAGTACGCTGCGACTTCTTGGTTGGCGGATACCGTGATAGGCATCGCTCATAGGCAGCGGAAGGCGGCATTCGAATTCGGTGGGCTTGGCCCAATGGTAGCATACGAGACTGGTAAGCATTCATGTTCCGGATCGTCATTTGAAGAGTTGAATAGCTGATGGGTGGCACGTTGTCCTTTTCCGCTTAGCGCTGATTATCTCGTGGTGGCTGAGTCTTCGGCAAAGTCTCACATCACCACCTTCTGTCTCTGTCCTAGAGGGAGAAACAGAAAGCTTGGGAGCCATCAATCATTTGTTTCAAGACATTCTGAAGGAACTAGATGAGCAGTGCATCTCGTTCGACGGAGACCGTTCGGATCTAGCTTCCCGAGCCCTGTTTCACTACCAAGTGTTGTTGGGGCAGTGGGTTTGGCCTTGTGAGTACTTTTGTTTCCCCTGTCTTTCTCGCTTATCCGTTTGCTAAGCCACGCTCGACGCGTAGACACGAATGCCATGAACCACGCCCTGCAAAACTTTGCATCTCGATTGTGCCAGGGAGAAGCCTAACATTTCGCGGTGTGACGGCACGGCTCTTATGGAAAGCTTGGCAAATGGGGTAGCAGTTCAATTCGTGGAGTCGCAGGAAGACTATGATGTGGGGTCGCGGATGCATCCATAGTGAAAGGCACCTTGGACTGCGGATTGGTCCGTCCGACAGGTTCCTGAGCAAAAGTTCCCAACGGTTTCCATAACCATCACAAACACCCTTGCTGAAACATGGCGTAAAATCCATGAAATACCAGATTCAGTTCACAAGCAATTTCGATGGATCGAAAAACGGAAACAATAAACGAATCAGCATCTTTGCTTGTCTCTCCATCCACCTGGGTTGGTCCGTAAGCGGACTGTCGAACGAACCTTGGATGGTAGAAACAGAAGGATCAAGCAACGGCTTCAGCTTGTCAGGGTACGCTAGGTACCGTGATGACAGAACAAGCTTATTTTTGCAAGAGAAGTCATCATTCTCCTTATCGAGAAGGCTGAACTGGGTGGTAGAGAAGGCTGTCGAACAAGACATTCAGCTGGTCATGGGGAAACAATCGGATGATATCGATCTCAACACTCCAGATCATCTCGTGGGCTGTGTTTCTAGCTTTCAGGTTACTGAATACGGGTCATGCCCAGCATCAAGCTCCTGTTAACATAGTCCAATCTGTGTATATATGGATTCTGCGACTTCAATGGTTTAAGTGCACGAGATTTAAGCTGACAAGTTTTGTTATCATATCACAATTATTTTTCATCTATTGAGTCTCATACTCTGGACATCTTCACTGTTCTACATCTTTACTCTCTGTTCAGAAACAAACATCTTCTGCATTCGCGATGGCATACCCTGAGAATGTTGGCATCAAAGCCATGGAAATCTACGTCCCTGGCCAGGTCCGCATCTCCTTCTTAAAATCCATATGTCATCTATCAGAGCTAATATCAATCACTCCAGTGCTTGGACCAGTCTCTCTTTGAACAGCACCAAGGCGTATCAGCGGGTAAATACACCATTGGCTTGGGCCTCAAATACATGAACTTCTGCAACGACCGTGAGGGTAAGTCATCGACCTTCCAGGATACTCTTACTTCGGCCGGGCTCTGAGTCTGGCGTCTTCCTCATCAGTGATGGCTACTGACCAGCTTAGATGCATCTTCCATGGCCCTCACTGCCATATCCTCGCTCATGCGAAAGTATGATATCGACCCCAACTCGATTGGTCGCCTCGAAGTTGGCACAGAGTCCTTGGTCGATAAAGCCAAGTCTGTCAAGACAGTGCTGACCCAGCTCTTCGAGCCTGCCGGAAACACCAGCCTAGAAGGCATCGACACCATCAACGCATGCTACGGCGGCACGAGCGCCTTGTTCAATGCCGTCAACTGGATCGAGTCTAGATCATGGGACGGCAGAAATGCTATCGTTGTTGCGTCCGACATTGCATTGTACAACGAGCCCGCCTCTCGTCCTACGGGCGGTGCCGGTTGTGTCGTCATGCTCGTAGGCCCCAATGCGCTGCTTTCGATGGAGCCGGCGCTCAAGGGAACCTTCATGACCCATGCCTACGACTTTTACAAGCCTGATCTCAAAGCAGAGTTCCCTCTGGTAAATGGACATGAGTCGCTTCGGTCGTACATGTCGGCGCTGGACGGTTGCTACCAACGTCTTCGTGAGAAGGTGGAAGCAGCTAACCAACGCACGAACGGCCTTGGGCCGAAAATTGATGATAACAACTTGCTGAACGTATTCGACTACATGGCATTCCACACCCCCAATTGCAAGATTGTGAGCAAGTCGTATGGACGACTGTTGTACAACGACTTCCGACTGGATAGCGATAAGAGTCGATGGGAGACTCTGTCGGAAGAGCTGCGCGGGCTCAGCTACGAGGAGTCTCTGAAGAGCAAGGAACTTGAAAAGATCTTTGTCACCCAGTCAAAGGATCTCTTCAAAGCGAGAGCTGAGCCATGCATTGCCGCCCCCACTTTATGCGGCAACATGTACACGGCTAGTCTGTACTGCTCTCTCATCAGCTTGATCAGCAACATCGATCTCAGAGACAGTGTCGGGAAGACTATCGGCATGTTCAGTGTAAGTCTTGTGATACTCATGTGCAAATATTATGCTGACAAGATACGCGGGATCAGTATGGCAGCGGTATCGCCAGCACTCTCTATGGGCTCAAGATTACGGGAGATCTTAGCGAGATGGTCCAAAAGATTGATCTCATGAAGCGTCTTGAGCAACGTGAGACTTGTACGCCTGAGCAGTATGAAGAGGTGAGAGTGAATCAAACCAAAGGATTTTGCAAGCCGCCACTAACCACCAATTCGCAGGCCTGCTCTCTCAGATTGAAGGCATATGGCGCCAAAAGCTATGAGCCTGCTGGAAGTATCGAAGCCATGGCTCCTGGAACGTACTACCTGGAGAGAGTTGATGATGCTTACCGCAGGTTTTACGCTGTGAAGCCATGAACCTCCGTCCATGGTACTCACAGCTCAAGTCCTGGGTCCCAATACGACTATAGTAGTAAATTGTCGTGAAGGAGGAGAACGCGGCTTAGAACATCAATATAGATAGAGTTCTAATCATTTCAAGAAGCCTTGGTTGCTATCTTCTCTTCCTCGCCCGCTACGACATCCTCGTCGCCTTTCTTCCAACGATACTCCTTCTCAATGCCTAGTTCTCTTTGCGCAGTGTCGCAGAGCTTTGCGTTCCCACAGCCGCATACGGCCGGCTCCCTGATCCACCGATACGTGATACTCCACCGATCTCCTCTCTTCCGCACCGTTCCATCAGGCAACATGTCCGTCTTCCGTTTCCTAATTCCGTGCTTCCAATGCAGTCTCGAGTCTCCCGACATCTGCAACATGCTTCTCGGCGTAAGATCTATTTCCACCATCCTTCCTTCCTCGCCTTCGTCTGGAGGTAAAGCAAACTGCATCATGACGGGCGACCCTAGCGACAGCGCATATAACTGATCATATGCGGAATGAGTATCGACATGGGGCGGGATGCCGGCGCCGGGTGGGTAATGCTGCAGGCAAATTTGATCCGGTGGTCTGCCCTCGCATGTGGGAAGCAACGGCTCCAGCCAGTCCGGAAAAGGGTTGAAGGGGATATTGGGGTCCACGCCGAATGTCTTATAGTCGAAGGTGTAGCCGTAGTGGAGAGACAGTCGCCCAGATCGGTCTGGCCAGGAAAGCTCGTTGCGAAAAATGTGTATTAACTTTTCCTCATGCTCGGATGATATGAAGCCATCTTGCCAGAAGATGCCCGAGGGCTGAATTGGTAGTTCATTCATTACGAAAGCTGTAGCGCCATGCAAAGCTTTCCGTCGTGGCAGTGGTGATGAGTAAGAGTTGTGGAATAACACCGATGGATGAGATGATGTTGAACCAAATTTGACTCAGCGGCAAAAGTCGCTCGGTGTGGCACCACCACGGAACTGAAGTGGGGCACTTGCGGGAAACCGTAGCGGCTACGGACGGGAAAGAGAAGACTCATTCTAAGATCTCCAGCTATAGGAATCTCACTCATATCCCTTACAACAGCCACAAGAACAGTCCTAGACGTGAGTTCGATGATGAGTTAAAATTCGGTAATAATAAGATACGTCTCACAGGACCCGCCAATAACACTGTCATGGGGGTGGCCATAGTCCGTCGCTGAGACTCAGAATGTGGAAGGAAACCTCAGTGGTCACAACCACTCCAGCTGCCGTCGATGAGAGCCTCAATGTATGCAGATAAAATTCTTGGCAAGGAACACGCTTCTCGGTAGGTAAAAAGCTGCATGTGACTGCGAATATGAGGGGTGGGGTTGTTTTCTTTGCTGTTGGGGGCGGCGGGGTACACAGAACGGAATGTAAAGCACTCAAGAAGCATGCCGTATGCCTTGTATACATCAACATAAGGTCTATGGACTTGATAACCCTACTGGTATGAGAGGCTGCTTCCGGCTTGTCATCAGATTTGAGAGACGCCCAAATAAATTACTCAGGTGATGATGATAGCGAATCGATCGGGTCGTACAAGCGTTGCCGACATCCCATGTCGTGGATGAAACGGTTCTGAAGCTTGATCCCCAGCTGTGCCTCGCTAGACGCGGCAAGCCCACTGCTAATCAAATTTGAGACGAATGACGGGATGAACGATACACACACACTGAGCACAGATGGGGAGGCAAGCTTAAGTAGGTTTTAGAGGATGAGTTTTTTTGATGTCGCATTAAGCAGCAGACACTAGGTATATGTGTGGGTAGGTAGGGGGACTAGATTTATGTAACCGTTCCGTTGAACAAGGCGTCCCTTTAAACCAACCGTCTTGTTCGTTAACGCTTTTTCCCATATCCCGAGAAATCTGCACAAATGTCCAAAGCAGAAGAAGCTGGTGGTGGGCACGAGGGGCAATGGCAAATAGGCCGCACCATCCAAAATATGTGCCCCGAAAGAAAAGAGGTATCCCATGCGCCGTCAAGAAGCTCTGAAGATTAAGGAAAACATCCATTACTGGGCTTCGTCATCGTGGCGAGGTTTTTTTGCGTGGGTTTTGTGTGAGATGACCCCCTTTCCCCGACGAAAAACTCACCCCAGGCAAGGGAAGAAGACTGGACCAGGCGGAAAGAAAAGGATGAGCCTTTCTTACGCGGTGAACTTGTCGCCGAGGGTGACGTCCAGGTGGCCCTTGTAGTAGCCCTTGCAGCCGACGCCATCCTCAGCCTCCATGCCGGGCATGTAAGCACCCTCGTTGGTGCCGTCAGACTTGACCCAGGAGCAGGTCTTGCCGTTGGCGGCGACCTTCATGCCGTAGTAAGGCATGCTCTGGGAGCCGGCAACGAGGACGGAGGCGTCGGCACCAGAGTTGCCGCCGTTGGGGGTGGAGCCCCAGTCGAACTCGAGCCAGGTACCAGCGAACTGGCCGATGGGGGTCTTGGGGACCGTGGTGCCGGAGCCGCAGGCGCATGAGCCCTGGGAGTCGGCGTCGAAGGCGACGTTCTTGGACTGACCCTCCTTGACGGTGAAAGTAATTGCGGCGAACCAGCAGCCGTCGATCAGGCCCTTGGGGCCGATCTTGTTGAAGCACGAGCAAGAGTAGTCGGCATCGCTCGCGGTGAAGGTGGTGGTGTAGTTGTAGAGGGAGACGCTGGCGTCGTTGACGATCTGCATGTTGCAGCCCCAGTTGTCCGCGCTGCCGGTGTTGCCAGAGTAGGCGATCTCGGCGATGGTGGCGCGCTTGCTGTTGGAGCCGCTGCAGAAGGGGGTGTAGACACCGCCGGTGGAAGCGGCGGAGGTAGCGGCGGGGGCGGCAGAGGTGGAAGAGGGAGTCGTGGAGGGGAGGATGTTCTTGATGAAGGTCAGGTCGCGCTCCTCGACGGCGTCAGCGCTGCGGCGCTCGTGGAACTTCTGGTGGTTGTGGGCAGAAGGGTGGGCAGACACGCCGGCGAAGGCGGCCGCGAGGACGACGGCAGAGGTGAAGTGCATCTTGAACTATCGGGAGATCGTGGAGAGATTCGTAAAACTCGTTGGTGGTTAAGAGTGCTAAAAGTTGTGCTTTTGTTTGCTAGACCCGTCCGGAAAGGAGTGACAGCGGGTTATCAAGATAACTCGCGGATTTGGACGATGGTTTGAAGAGAGAGTGGTGGTGTCAAAAAACCAGGAACCGGGATGTGCCAGAAAAGGGAGGGAGATGAGAGCCATTTTGAAGGGATGGAAACAATCTCATTCGAAGCGCCCTTCTGCGAGGCGTGTTAGCAAGAGACATTGTCAAACTGGGGGAACTTGGTGTGGTGACAGGGGCGTCGTCACCAAGACATCGCGTTCTGCTCTATCATCCACCATCAACAGCCCATCACAACCCGTCAACAACCCTGCTTAGCCAGGAACAGACACCAAAACGGGTAAAGGTCCAGAAGTGATGACCGAGAGGGCTAGGCGATGTGGAGAGGGGCATCGCTGGTTCCAGGGCCAGACAGGCCGGGCCAGGAACAATCTCTGTTTCTCTCGCTGCTTGCCAGCTTGGCTTTGCCAACTCAGGCACACGCACACACACACAGACACACACACCTCCCTCTTGACGTGTGGGAACCAGGAACCAGTAGGGAGACATGGGTAAGTCGGATGGTGGAGGGAGATGGATCCTGGATGGATCATGGTGCACCGCCGGCGCCAGGGCAGGATTGGACGGTGATGCGGGAAAAGGGGGTGGGGAAGGTAATTTCACCGCACGCCAATTCCAAAAGGGCCACGGCCAGCCAAAGCTTGGTCCCAGATTTGAGTCCAAGCCAATCCCTCCTCAAGGTCGCAGTAACATTCCATTCACAAGCCAACCAGAAGCCAAGCATCACTAGACCGTTACACGGCGGACCTGCCAATGGGTGATTATCGACTGGGAAGATGAGATACTAAAGCTTGGGTTTGTTTGGTTTGATGGATCGTCATCAAAAGTATTTCCATCTCATCTTGGGGTGATGCGGATATTCAGCGCCTAAAAGCCACATCACACACACATTGGGATGAAAACATCCCGTTGCTGTTGGACAACGCATCAGTATCTTTCTCGAGTCGAGTGAAAGTCCCCTTCTTTTCCGTACGCCCCATGGATCCCACACCAACAAATGCCGGCAGGAAAAGCGCGCCGGCCAGGCACACCCGCACGTTAGGTTTCTGGCTGCGCGAGAGAGGGGAAGAGGCTTGCCGCAATGCCAGGAACAGTCAACCTAGCTCCAGCGCCTGGGCCTGGAACCTGGACCTCGACCTGGAACCGGAACACGAAATATTGGACTTGGTCGGTGGACCACAAACATGGCACCCACAAAGTGCCACCACACTCCAACTTTGCACGACGGGACACTCAAGAGAAGCACAAGCTATGACGGGAAGATCGACGCTGCCCGTCCACATGTCCACAAGCGACCTGCAGAATCGCACAAAGTTTTGCCTTGCTTACCTGCAGTGTTTTGCTGTCCGCTGGACCGGATTCAGGTTTCTCGAACCCTTCCAGACGTGATAAGAAGTCTAGAGCGGTCCCAACTCCAGATTTTGGTGTCTTGCTTTTCTCGATTTCTCTCCATGACTCCGACCAAAACAGAGACTTTCCCTGGTGGAGATCCGGTGGAGGCGTCCGAGTGCATAAAGTTAAATCTCTCACCCAAATGCTCATGAACAGGCGAGTTGACGCCCCCGAACTTCAAAGACAGTCGTCACTGCTTGCCTTCCATGACGTTGCATATCCAAGCCCTATAGTCGCAACACCCCTTCATCGACGTCCTATTCGTCCTTCACCCTGCTGTCAGCATGCAAAGTTCGGCACCCGAAAACCCCTCAGTTGTCTTCTGGTCTTATCTGCGAGCCTCTCGGAAGAGGGTTGACGACTCGATACCTGGGAGCATCGAAGTGCAGCATAGACGCATTCAATCGTCAATATCATCCGATGGAGACAACACCACAGTATTTGCGAAGTGAGGGATTGGAGATTGCCTGTACGGATACGGATACATACCGTTCAAGAAGAGCAACGTCAGGATAATAGGCAAGGTGACTGAGGCGCCTGGCTGGGTTTTGCTATGCATTGTGCCAATGTAGCATCATCCCATCTCTCCCTGAGTTCGTCCCCTTCACCTCCCTTCGCTTACCTTATTGCTCTTCCAATATTCGCAGGATGTTTCCTCGGCAGTGCAACACAGCTCATTAGAGACTTCGTACTCACGGCGTCCCATCCTTCCTTCTCCCATGTTCCGATCCCAGTGCCGCTGCCGCACAACGGCCCGTACGCCGCCGGGGTGGTTGAAAGTGGGAGTGCCAGGAACCGATGGGGTCTGGATCTTCCCAGCTAAACCCAGCGGAAGCCCGTTCAAGCCGCTCAGCGTAACGGATACGGCGACCCGGTCCACCAGGTGGGAACACAATCACCAGTCAACCTGGTCGCTGTCCGAAATCCCTCCACCCTTCTCCCTCCCCTCTTGGACTGATTCCAAGGAAGAGCCTTTTCTGCGCAGTGCGAATCTGCGATTCCTTCTGTTCCGTTTCTCCACTGGGGCAGTGCTGGCAGCAGAGGCCAGTGGGCAAGTGGCAATCCCGAACGCGTCATAGGCCTCGTCAGGACTGAGGGCAGATGGAGCTACCGCCGGTCCAGCGATGGCCTGCAGGCTGGCTGCTTCTGCTACTGCAGGACCAGCTGTTAATCAGGCACCACTCAGGGCACTGAGAGCGTATAGACATGTGTGGGAGGGCTCCCGTGAAAACGGTGCTTCTTGGAGGGCCCTGGAGGTTCGGAGCTTATCGCTGTTTACCGCGAAAGACAACAACAAGTTCGGACGAGTCGATCTTCCTCCAGGGAGCTTGGCTTGCGGCTGTGTACGCAGTAGAGTCCGGACGGCGCCAGAGAAGGGGGAGCCGCACCCGGACCAAATGCGCGCCCATGTGGCATTACCCGGAGGGACCTAGGTTGTTTGCCTCTAAGAATAGTCTTCCCTTTTTATTGTTTCCCTTTGGTGCTTGGCCCGGGTGGTTGCCCAGGGAGGCAGGTGGAATGTGCCTACAACAATTGTTCCTGAAGATCATTCACTCTTTGGGACAGCTTTGGGCATGCCGTCGAGGACTCGACTGAGATTCGATCTGACTTGTCGACTGATCTGCCAGATCAACAAAAGAGCCTTCAACATTGTCTTCCCCTTGGAAAAGGGGGCAAGGCGGCGCCCAATGCACTTGGCGTACTCACGAATTCGGTGTCACCGCTGTCAAGCACTGGACAACGCTTTAATGAAGAGCGAATTGGCAGTTGATGCTGCCACGACGCCCATGTGTCCCGAAGCAATGAAGCGCCACTTTCACGAGAGCAACTGTCTACCCTGACCAAGAGAGTCATATGCACCGCCGGGCCTCTGGACGCGCACAAATCCACCCGCCCTCGCGCACCAGCCACCACCGCCACAGCACCACTCTTGCGATCTTCAATTTTCCCGCCAAAAAAGCTCTTCGCCTCCTTAGGGTCCCGCCCCGGCAGCCTGAGCATCACACCACGAGTCTTCAATGACTCAGCAGCCCTGATGGTCTAGCGGTATGATTCTCCCTTAGGGTACATCTTCGGATTCACTTATCTGGGAGAGGTCCCAGGTTCGAATCCTGGTTAGGGCCCAATTTTTTGCATTTTTGCCGTTCTGAGTTGACAATGCTGCCGTTTAAGACTAGGAGCTACTCCTGGAGAGCCGACAAGCGTTACAGACGTGTCTGTCTAGAGAAAAATGTGATATAGATGAGCTGAGCAAGTTTCTCGTTGCTACCTTGAGACTTAAGCTTCAGTATACCATGGGCTATGGTGGAGAATTACGTAGAACGCTGGCTCCCATGTTCGTTTCTTGTGAAATCCAGTATGGCTATGTAATTGAAACATCTAAGGTCTTCCTTGTTTCCGTAATCAACATGTGAATATCATTAGACCTTGAAAATCAAAGGGTCGCGGGCTGAACGCTGTCTTACACTTGGTGATCATGCAGGGGAATTAGGCAAACTCCAAGCGCAGAGAAGAATGCCGATATTCATTTCTGTCACATGTCACGAAAAGAAACATAAGATGCACCATCAAGGTCAGACCACGAATTGAGGTGAGCCAACACACAAGGTTTGTGGCGAAGGGTTTTCTTTGGTTGACCCAGGATCCCGAGACAGCCAGCCGCGGTCCACGCTCGATTTTTTACGCAGTCTGTGATACCTCTCTGGATAGACTGAAAGACAGAAGTCAGGACCGCGGTCAGCTTTTGATTTTCTTTTTTTTTCTACCATTCAAGAAAGATGTCAAACACCACATTCCAGACACAACCAGCCGAAGACAGCATACCGCATCCATCCACAAGACCTACGACAATAACCATCAAACATGAAGTTCTCCGCAACAGCCGCCCTCGCCCTAGCCCTCTCCATCACCAGCGTGCTGGGGCAAGAGCCGCAGGTATTAAAGAAAGGTCAACCCACCTGCACGGGCAACTACTTCAAGTTCGCGAACCTCAACCGCAAGTGGATGATCCACGCCATGGTCGACGACGTCGACAGTATCCCCGACATCTGCGGCGGTCTCTGGGACAACCTCAAGAAATTCCCGATATGCGCCCCGAGCCCAGATGCCGGCTGCGAGAACAAGTGGGAGGGCATCCTGACCTGGCGCTTCGCGACGGTGGGGATTTGCAACGAGGGCATGATCGGTGCCGCGTGGTGGGAAGCCACCAGGAACAAGTTCGGCCCACTCAAGTGTACGAGCAAGAAGAGGATGTGAACATGGAGAAGAGTTTCTTTGTCTTTTTCACACGAAACGTGAAATCCCTCCATCTCTTTCGACTACCAATATGGAAGCAGCTTGTAACGGTATCGTGGCAGATATTCGTGTTGAAGAATGGTACGTAATGGTCGCGGTACACAGATGTAAACCTGCTAAACATCTAATATTTTAGAAGCCACATAAACACCTTCACTCCTCTCGGCAATCGAACCAATACCTACTTGCGTCAACGATGAGTGTGGAAAGGAGGATTTCGTTTTTGGGGAATGGGAGAGATAGAGAAGGCAGAGTACCGATCAGCCTTGCTCCGGCACTAGGCCAGAACAGTTCTATGGCTCAGGGCCAGATACGGCCTCAGCAGTTCAAATTAGTGTCAGAACCAGTCAATCAAAGGGCTCAGTAGTGTGATATTCAAAACAAGCGTTCTATTAATCATGTAATAGTTCTTGTCCAACTGGAGAATTCGATGAATCTTTTCGTGTGAACACTGTCCTTGACACCTGCGCTTTGTACTTCATACTCCACACATGTCAGTAAATAGTCCCCAGTCACTCACCTATTGGGATGGAAGATTTTAGATGCCACTATAATCCTCATCAGAACCGGAAATCCATGACTGGTTCAGAGCATGGGTAGGGCGACGCAAATTTGAGGTGTCGTCGCTTGGTGAACCAGCCGCAGCCCTTCTGGCGTTGTATACTTGCCCAAAGATTGAAGCCCCTCCTGCCTGGGGAATTTGCTGTCGACTGGCCTCAGAACGAACGTGAGGTAGTGGTGATTCATTGCTTTCGCTGGCTGGGTTCAAGTTGTAGTTCTGGGGTCGAACTCTACCAGCTCTGCCTCCGTACTTCACCATCACATCGCCTTTTACCTTGAGTGGTGTTTTCATGAGAGGTTCGAACCAGTCAGGCGTCGTGAGGGGACCCTTCTCCTCCTCCTCCGCCTCCTCCTCCTCATCTGAAATTGCTGTCTGAAGACTGTTCGGATGAGGCGTCACATCTCCACGGGACCAAGTCGATCCAGTAACATCTGCTGCATCAGTGAATCTCACTTCCTTGGTCTTTGTCAGATCCAGCGGGGCCGGGCGACGGCGCGGAATAACAGCAGGCAACCGACCACGGATAGGGGACGGAGACGAATATTGACGAGGAGTCGGCGTCGGCGTCGGCGTCATAGAGGTAGGAATACTAGCCCGCGACTTCCAGTTCTTACGCATCCGATATCCCCTTTCCAAGCCAGCAAGCAGACTCTCGCCGTTCGAAGGCCACGGCTGATGCTGATCCTGCCTGTGAGAAAGCGGACAACTCGCGACTCTACACGGGTAGAAGATGCAGCCCAGTCCCGCCTTTTCCATATTCTTCTGCTCCTTCTTGGAGATGTGCTGGTACCGAGTCCTATCAATCATGCGGAGGCCCGCCAGGCTTACACCCTGCTGGTACACGTCTCCAGTCATGATGCGGGCTCTAATTCCTCTAGGCGTCATGATGATGACGGTGAGGCTCTCGTCCCAGGTACCTGTATCATTTTTGTTTCGAGAGACGTGAACACTGTGGTCGTGGAAGGTGCTAACAAGCTCAGCCTTGCTGAGATATTCTACAAGGTCGTCGGTGAGGTCCTGTGCAGCACCCCAGGTCTCGGGTAGCCACCAGGGGTCTTCTTCGGGGTTGTTAACGGCCCTCGCGCCCCAAGATGATACGACTCGAAGTTGCTTAGCGGACTTTGGGGTCTCTGCAAGGTTCTGGGTCTGATTGACCAGCATGTTCAGAGGTGGTAGCTGTTGTTTGCTGTTCATAAGGTCTACCGAATTGGCCCATCGAAGGCATCGGCTGTCGTTCTGGCTATCGTCCTGGTTATCGTCCTTGCTGTCTTCTTCGGTTGACTCACTAGAACATGAATACACACTTGATGAAGAGTGGAACTCATACTTGGATCTAGCCGGCGGGTCCAGAGTTGACCGGTGGTTCAAGTGCGTCGTGGCAACTGACGCCTCAGACGATGCCTCAGACTGTGGCGAAACCGGCCCAGCTGGGATCGGGAATCTCGAGATTGCGGTCATGGCCAGAAGAGGCAGGCTGTAAGACTTACCCTTGTTGTTCCAAGGAAACGGACGTTGCTTGCCAGGAGGAGGCGCACTCGGACGGCTCAAGAAATCTTCAGCGAAGCCGTGGGCCGATTCTCCAAAGTACCTGTGCGGGGACGGATAGAGGAACTCGTAAAAGTCCTTGGCCGCCCGCTCTGCCGACCAGCGGCAGTGTTCGCAGACGAACTCAGCAAGACGTTGGACTCTCGTCAGCTTGAGGGTACCGCAGGAGCCTAGGATGGAAGGTGAGATGTTGGCCCACTGAGTGCCACTGGCGATGTTGTCGGTGTTGGTGCAGAATTGGTTTACGTCTTCGAGTCGGGTGAGTTGAAAGCACACCTTGCATTGGGAGGTGGGCTGAAGGATAAGACACATGATGATTGGAAGTTTTGTGAGGATGAATGAGATGACAATCGCAATGTCGGGCTTTGTGCTTTAGGTTAGATGGTTAAATGATGCCTGGAGATGATGGTGAAGAAAATTGTGCTGGAATGCTGGAGGTCAGGAATTGAATGGTGATATTGAGAGTTGCTGCGTTGATGGGATGGACTGGATTGGAAAGCTCTAGACTTGAGACGAAACGGGTTGCATTTATACGCAGAAGAACGTGCAGATCTTTGCACACTCACTTCATTGTATCCTTGTCATTCAGCACAAAGAGCCTTGCAGTTGTAGACAATTCATAAGTACTACGTCCCCGAAATGAAAGGAGGAATCAAGTCAAAGAAAGACAACCTTCTGCAGTATCAAGAGTCTTTACTATCTAACAATGAGACAAAAATGCCTTTGACATATGTGTTCAGTTGATTGAGCGTTGGCATTGCCGGATTCTCTCCAGATCTTTCACTTGCCACGGAAAAATGGACACATCGTAAGCTATTTGGGGTAAATATCGAGATTGATGCATAAGACAGCAATCTTTGTCGGAACGATGGGCTTTTCAACAACTTTTGATTGCATAGGTATCTAATGCTAGTCTCGTGGTATCGAATCGTTTCTCAAATCCGTATGATGTATCGAGACCGAGAAGCGCCCTTGCCTTCAATGAATTGTTATTAGGGTACGCCTTCGCGTTGGCGAAAGCTCTCGGTCATACCACATGCTACCTCGATTGGTGTTTTTCAACTATTGCTCTGAAAAGTGAATCTATCAACATTCTCTGCAAACCTATCAAGGTTCATATCGTCAACCTTCTACTCCCCAGAAGCCGTAGTCTCGCATCGCCCAGCCAAGTAATGGGTTTCTGCAAGAACTTTCCGTCGTGTCGTTTCCGTTCGGTAATTCGGGTAATCGAATACACCAAATTATACCGGTGTCGACAATGTTCTCGTACAATGTCCACGACGGACTCCCAGTTATCCTCCTCATTGACCTCCTCGAGGCAAAGGTCGATAACTGCCCGCGCCACATTTGAGAAGGGCGTTTTCGGTTTTGGCGGACATTCGAAAGGCGTGCTTCGCCAGCCACGTCCCTCGTACCTTCCGTAGCAACGATTCCACTCGGCGGAGCGACACCGCTCTCGATCGACATCCTGGATCAGGTCAGACCAATTCGTGGCCACCCTCCAGCCCTGCTGATCTTGTGCGTCCTGAATTTCCTGCGGCGTGATTCTCTTCACGTCGTATTTGGCACATAGTACTGGCAGTTGTTCGGCGCTACAGCGGAGGTCCTCCATCAGGTCGTGGTCTCTCAAGATCTGCCTGAGTTCCATGACGAGGCCTCCATACAGTGCCTCCTCGCGCGTGAACTGTTCGAAAGCCCTAATTCCGTACCGCATCCTGTTACCATAGACGCGCGCTTTCTCCAATTTGCCGTCGTATATGGCGCCGATTGCTTCCTCGAGCTGGGTTTCGATCCAACTTGTGAGGGCTGCGATTGCCGGAGAGACCTCTTTCCCAGAGATTCTGTACTGGTTCCTGATGTCCTGCCAGGCAGTTATATCATCGTGGACAGCCATGAAGTCATTGGCCTGACGCTCAGTAACCATCGCTCTGATGGTAGTCATGTCCATGTTGGGCGACATGTAGGTAATTGTGAGGTGTTGTGAGGTGTTGTGAGGTGTTGTGAGGGAGTATGGAAGAGATTTCTGTGGTTTAGGCTTTGATAGTTGATTGTTGGGGTCGTATCTTATGGGAAAGTGCTTCACTCAGCCAGACAGAGATGGGAACGTACTGAGACTTATTTCCGTATCTCGACCTGTCGGAGATTGATTTTGTCTCGTAGACGATCAGCCTGGCTAAGCTTGACGACCATGACTACCCAAGGTTCACGGCGAGCTTGTAACTACAGCAAAAGTAAGTCACGACACGGCAACTTTGTGTGCCGAACGTGGAAAGCTACCTACACCACCAAGTGTCAGCATATCCTAGACTTGCTCATACAGCCCGAATCGAGTACTTCAATAGAGCAGTCGGCCTTCGGACTGGGTACGATCCATGAAGCGGATCGAGGTAAGCCAGCAAGGTGTCACTTTACTGCTACCTGAGAAACCGCATATTTCGGAAGGTTAGAGCCATAAAACTGTCAAGGTTCTCCGATCTTCACGTCACTGGTATACCTATAATCATAACATCAAAAGAGTGACTGTATTCGGATCATACTTGAATACTTGTATCGTGTGTACTTGATCTCAAACCATGACGAAGTATCCAATCTCGTGTCATCTCGACCCAAACCTACCTACTGAATCTGGAAAGCAGCGAGCGACTACGAATAAACACAACCTTCGGATGAAGGAAAATGGACATCCTCAACATCAGACTACCCCAGTCTAGAGCTCGTTCTGCTTCTTGCGGGCATCAATAATGGCAAGAGCCTCCTCAGCAGCCTTAACTCCAGAGAGAGCCATGGCACCGAAAGTCGGACCTGAATAACACCCAAGCCGTTAGCAAAACGCGACATACATCTCATCAGACCAAGTGTGTATAACGAAGTGACTCACCCATGCGGTTGGCACCATCAACCTCACTCAACTCCATCCCGCCCACAATCAACCCCGGCACAATCTCCCTCGTCCCCTTAACAATCGCGTCCTCGGCACTCTGCATATCCAGCCCGCGCATGCCGCCAAGCTGCTCAATCTGCTTCATGCTCACAAGCCTCTTGACGCAGAACGCTCCAAACGGGCCGTCGTGGCCGGTAGTCGACACCACGAGCGGCGCGTTGATGGTGTTGGGGTCCATGCAAGACTGATCGTCGTGGTGCATCGAAACAAGCGTCCAGTTGGTAACCACACCCGCAACCCGCAGGCTGCCATCCTCGTTCTTGCGGGTAATCAAATCCTCAACCGTGGTGGCGTTGAACAGCTTCACATTAGAGAACTGCAACACCTTGCTCATGACGGTGGACGTGAACAGCGCAGCGTGCTTCACCACAACAAAGTCGCCCTCATCCTCGTACGGGACACCGACCTCATCCAGGAAGACGTCAGCGGGCTTGCGCATGACCATGGCGGAGAACAGCTGCCCGCCAAGCCACGCGCCGCCGCCGGGCGCGACGCCGGCCTCGACGATGGCGATCTTGAGGTCCGGGCGGGCTTTGGCGAGGACGTAGGCCGTGGAGAGGCCGCAGGACCCGGCGCCGACGATGACGACGTCGGATTCGGCGTAGGTGTCGAGGTCGGAGAAGTAGCGGCGCGTCATGGCGCGCGAGACCTGGGACTCGCGGATGGGGGCGAACTTGAAGGAGTCCCACTTGCCGAACATGTCCTCGACCTTGGCAGAAGGGTTGGCGGCGGTGGTGGGGACGGGGGTGGAGGACTTGGACTTGTTGGCCATCACTGGGACGGCGTAGTCGCGGACGGGGGAGATTGCAGCGGGAGGAGCCATTTTGTCTCTTGTTGTCGTTGGAGTTCGAAAGGACTTTCTCGAGTGTTGTTCTTGGTGTAATCTGCTTGTGTTAGGGTGCATGATCCTTTCGCTGGTATTATCCAGATCAAGTTCAAGGCCGTATATTCTCAGCCACAACATCGGCATCGGTCGCTAGCTCATCATGGGGAAGAGTGATGGCAGCGGCGTCTGCGCTCAGGTGGGCACCGGCTCATGCATTTGCGCTCAAGAGTGTTCACATACTCGTGAAGTGTTGGTTTGGCAAAGTGCCTCCTGTGAGGGTGTCAGTCTGTATGCGTTCGGTTACACGGAATTGGGCCTACTGTTTGTGTGTATATTGAAGCTGGTTGATAAAACTTGGTTACAGACCAGAAAAACCAAGAAAAGGAGGAAGGCGACCGAGATATGAGTATATTATATAGACAATTGATAAGAAACTGCATAGCACAAACTCTGGACTATCGCCTGCGGGGTAAAAGACATCATACATGCGCAATCCTGAGCTCTTTTCCCCTTCAAACCTCCGCCCGGGCGGGATCGGCCAATCCTCTCCCAACAGTAGTCATGCAGTACATAAACAGACCAGACGTACCTCGCGTCTCGCCTCGACGATCACCGCGAGTACAGTTGCTTGGTACACATTGCCCCCCATACACTCACTTCCACGTCCTATGAGATGCGAAGTAATGACAGAGGGTGGAGGTGTCTAAACTATGTGTCGTTGAACCCCACCGGCGGAGTCGTTCCCGAAAGCCGATGGCACCCGCCTCCGGAATCGGCTCCTTGCCCCTTCCTCCCCTCCCTCCCGTGCCGTCAACTCCCGCCGACCGATCCAGACACTACCGAGAATTCCAGCTTCGAATTGACGAACAGTCGGACTCAAGCATGTCTCTGGAATCTATACATGTGTAGCACTCGTCCATATTCACAGCAGCATCACAACGGATCATCAGGCCAAGACTAAGGTTTTCCAACCACCGCCCGCCGACGCCGGAAGAAACCTCCCGCCTGCATACCGTCACCCCACACCTCCTAGCGAGCCCAAGTCCAACGGCAAGACACGGGCGGGGTGGGGCGGGCGTTCCTTTGCTTCACGCGGAGTTGCTGTTAGAGGCATTGGCGCGCCCGCGTACCTCAACACTATACACCCAAGGCAATGTCAAACGTAAAAGGTACTCTGTACTGCGGTACAGAGCGTACGGAAATTCGCGCACCAAGAATGCACAGCAGTGGTGCCCGTGGGTGCGTAGTAACGTGATGAGAGGAACATGTGAAGAAAAAACTTGCTCATATCTCCCCAAGTCTGAGTACGCGTGGTTGGGAATGGACCTCTTCTGAGTGGTTGCTGAGCTGAGCTTAACCGCCGATGTAGGATTGGTCCCTACCAGACAATGAGTCTCTACTTGCGGCATGCATTCTAGATGGTGTGCCTGCAATACATGGAGGTTCACGTGCTTGGCGGGCATCATGTCTCTACCACTAATGGGAGACACCTGTGCACACCAGCGTAGGGTATTTAAGCGACGACTTTCAGTTAAACAATGATATTTAGTATTTGGTTTGTTTTAGCTTGATAGCTAGAGCAGAGCAGGCTTGACATGCTTGGTGTCGATGAGTTTGCAATTGCCTCGTCCATAATGCGTCCAGAGTCCTAATCGATCGTCGATGGGACACCGGATCAAAAGTAGACGATTAAAATCGGTCGGTACGGTAAGATTGGTGCCCTAGCCAGGTCGTGATAACACATGTCGCGACCGTTCGCAGCTTGAGGGCAGTATCTTCGGGGCCACCAATATAGGCCAAACCCGAGATGTATTCGCGATCGTGGAATGTTCCCCCGACCTGATCTCGAGACTAGAGTAAGTTTTCTTTCCTTCCGCTGGAAAACCTATCAGACACCTGTCAGTTCAGGAACCTGAAGGCCCTTCCTGTAGTGCCATCGATGCGAAAGTGCGCGAGGTGACCAGTTCCGACGTTAGACGCGATGACATTTGCCATCATCATCAGCTCGCCTTTTGCGCCAATGCCGGAATGCTCATATACCCGCTGCTACCACCACCACCACACCCTTTATCCTGTCCAACATACTCCTCTCCAGTCGACAGCAAGACAATCCCGCCTCTTCGCCCCCCGACGTCGTCGCTCCTAGCAATGGACGGACTACTCGCCCACCCCACACTGCCCTCGGAATCCTCGCCCGTGGTATCAGACTGACTATCCTCCGACTGCAGCACATCCCAGAACCGACGGGCGGGCGTGTCGCCCTGCTTGCTGAGCTCCGCTATCGCGCTGGCGTGCCCGCGATCGTACCAGGGCATGAGGTACCATCGCCGCGGCGCGAGGAACATGACTTCGATCCAGAGGACAAAGATCATAAGCGCCACGGGTTCCTTCAGCCTCAAAAGCGAGAGGTATTGCTCCGACACCAGCGACGGCCAGATGATGAAGTGCTTCCATATCCTCGGCCGTCCGGGGAGAGACATGATCCAGGATTTGAGCGCGCCGAGGGCACCGAGGTATATCTTGATGTCTTCGACTGGTATTCCCGTTGCTTCGGGACCTAGGCATAGAAACTCAACAAACTTGGCTTTCTTCTGTATGGTTGGTCGTAGCAGTATGTCGCTGCTGTCACGCCATACTTTCACGTCGACTTGTGCTAACTTGTCCCGTATAGGGCTCTTGAAGACGTGTGGCGTGACCGTGTCTGAGAATCTGGCCGCTACCCGCATTACTGTGAGAGCTTTGCAAGGCTCAAACGTGCTGACCTGTCCCATCACCTTCTCATCGGCAAACGGTCGGTAATACCCGAAAATGCCGTTGCACATGGAAAACACAAAGGTAGCCAGCCAGTTCTCCTCCGTGACCTGAGGAACGGCGAGGCGGAAATAGTTGCTCGCTTGTATGGCGTGTTGGCAAGCCATCGAATAGTACCGCTTCGCGTTTGGCGGTTCGAGGTAGCATAGGTGTAGAGCCGCGATAGAAAGCATACTCTGATGAATGAACACGTTGCGTGACGCCAGCTGGGGCACCCATCTCGACCACACGTCACACTTTCGAGGATCGGTCTGTAATGAAAAGGTGAACCAGGCCTCGTTCAGGAAGTGGTGTTTGAGCTCGGCCTCGTCGGCGCGAAGCTTCTCGGCAGGTAATGAAGCGCTGAGGGCATCTCGTGAAGACGCGTGCGCCGCAACCGTGGCGGCACGGCGGACCATACTCAGGGTATCGCTAGCCTTTTCTCCATTTTCACGATTGAGGGCGTCTGCCAGTAGCCCGAGATAGCTGCAGTGTTCTTGGCGACGGCGACAGTTGGCGCATACGGGACCGACGCAGTCGCACTAGAACCCAGTGTCAAGTTAGCAAAAGGAAAGCTCCCTGAGATAGTATAGTGTAGTATTGGGGGACCTAGACGGCGATCATGTCTTGCTCGGCTAACCAACATCGTGACTGGCTGAAGGAAGAACCCAATAAACCGGGACTCCGACATGCACGTCACCAGTCTGTCCCGGTATTGGCGGGCCACGTCTTGCTCATGCCTGCTCGCCTCTTTGCAATTAGGATCATTCCGTACCTTGACACGACGCTTTTTGCACTGTCGGCACCCGTTCTTCGTCTTTCCGTGATACTGCCTTGAGCCCTTCGGCATTCTATCGGTACACAAGCTCGTTTGCAGACGTTCTGCCCTTTGCAACTCCTCAGATTCGGATCGGACGCTGGTCGAATTTTGTCCCGGTGAATAGGCGGGCGGAGGAGGTGGCGCGGGAGATCAACCGTCGACGGGTTGACTACTTGTTTTTAAAACAATCCGTTTAGTTCAATATGCGAAACGTCAGAACTTGGGGAGATGCTTGACCTTGTCAGGGATGCATGGCTGTCCTGACGCAAACTCAACTTCAACGCCGCACGTCCCCCGCTGTGACAACGGGGTGACAGAAACCCGAGTAGTGATGTGTGAGAGGCTGGAGCTGACCGAACGGCGGGCAGTGTAAGCATCAGAAAGCTGTTGTCATGCAGGGATCAGATACCACATGCGGCTTGCCGCACTGAATTGGCAATCCGTTCGCCCCAGCTGGGAAAAGACAGCTGCCAGTGCGAGGTTTCTTGATCTTCACGATGGTGCGTAGCTGGCTCGGTGCGATGCCTCTTTGCTCAATACACCCGCAATCGTTCTCTATCTCCACGTGCCGTAGCCTCTCGACAATCTCGAGAGGGTGGCCGGTCAATTCCTGGTCCATGTCTCAAAGTACCAGGGTCCTTAAGCAACCAGGTTACAGCGAAGAAGACGTCGAAATGCGAAGGTACACTTCTATCGAGGGTCCATAGGGATGTCCCTCGGAAGATAATCTCATGTTGTGGCGGGGGAGACATCCGCATCTTTTCAGAGACGAACATTTCTCGAAGTGAACTTGGCCGTTGTGAATACCGGGGCTCAATCCATGGCTTCATCTTGAGGATCGATCGTCATAGACGCGGTTGACAGTGCCATCTAAGTTTGAAACAAATCCAAAGACGTTTCGCACCATAGTCATAAGCTAAGATGGTATGCATTGACGTGAAATCGTAGCACTTGGATACCCCGTTGGCTTTGCAACGCTGATGCCGCCGCCGTACATTGGCTGGCTGGTGCGTAGAAGACAGAGCTGCAGGTGTAGCCCTGAACTCTCGTGAGTTGCGTTTGGATGCAACCGTCCGCCATAGTAGCCAGACTGACGGGCTAGGAATGTAATCCCGGCCGTTTGCCTGGGATACACCTTACAAACCATACATTGCTGTAGCTGGGATGGCCATAAGGCGTTGGTGTTGCGTGATCTCGAAAAAGAGAGTTCTCAATGACAAATGTGCCCGCTTCAAAGCCTCCTATGGAACTTAGCTGGCTCATCATTGGCGTAAAGCATGGGCAAAAGTTGCCAGGGGTTCGGATGGCGTTTGGGACAGCTCGATCTGGATGTCGTATGCTGTCAGTGATCTCAAACTGTTGTGAAGTGGGCAGGTCAGACAACGGCTGGAATGAAGGCCCAAGGGGGTGCAGGTTGTTCGGCAGAAATCCCACCTTAAGGCGCCATGCGTCGATCACAGACCCGAGCCTAGGTCATGTCAAAGAGGGAGGGAGCTGTCACGCTTGAGAGTGGACGTAGATCATCGCCTGCCACCATCAGAATAGGCTAGACTGGAGCATTCCGTCGCCAAGGCCCTTCTTTTCAGCCGCATGCCTTCAGCTTTCAAGCAAGAGACTTTCTTCGTAGATATTGTAGAATTTAGTACTGATTGGGACGTCTTCACGCCAGTGCAGAAGTTTGCCATCCTAGGTAGCTGATGCGATTGAGTGTCTGCTGACAGCGTGACCTTACGAAGATCCATACGGTGGCGGGGTTCGAGATATCAGGAGGGGCAAGGGAATGGAAAGATGATCTGCCGGGCAAAGCACAACGAAGCACTTCTTGCATAATAAAGTCCTTCTTTCATAGTTGTCCTCGAGATCCAACACGACATCAACTCTCATTCGGTGGCTAGAATAAGAAACTCCACCGGCGATGTGATAGGCGAGCGGCACCCTTGTCTTGAGGTGGGCGTTTGTGTGCTGATTGCATAATGCCAGCGTGTGTAACGAATGTCCAACAGCCTTAGCAAAAGGAGGGGGAGGGAAGAATGTTTGTCATATAAGGGGCTGCGCGCCCTGATCAAAGCCTAGTAGTAGTTCTTCAGTCCTCTCTTCAATATCGCGCGTTGTGTTGCTCTCGTTGATCTTGGCGAAAATGGCAGACGATGAACATATGGAGTCGACCGATAGTGGTCATTCGATTATCATAGCCACAGTGGCAATGCTGCTGGTGCCGCTGGTGTTCATGTTGAAGAAACTCCTGTTTCCAAACTTTGATCCTCGTGAACCTCCAGTGCTCCGTCCAAAACTGCCAGTGTTCGGCCACATCGTCTCTCTTGTCAGAGAATCGGGTAGCTTCTATGCCAGATTATAGTACGTATTCGATCATCTAAACAGCGCGTACTCTGCCTGACTAAAGTGTGAAGCAAGGAGAATAGAATGCCGATTTGCACACTGCCAATGTTGCATGGCAAGATGTATGTGGCAAACTCGCCCTCTCTGATCGCAGCGGCTATGCGCCACGGAGACATCTCCTCGATGCCTTTCCAGATCGAGGCTTCGTCGGCCGTGCTGGATCTTCCAAAGCATCACATAGGCGCCATTATGCAGCCAGCAATCTTGCATCAGCTCGAGCAAACGATGGCGGCAAATCTACGCCAGGACGCACTGCAGAAGATTAATCATGCTTCTCTGGGATACTTGGCGGGGGTGTTGAACACAATTAATCCCACAAGCCCACTCGAAGAGTCTGATGGATTCGAATGGATCAAGGGTGCCTTGACCATGGCCACTGCAACTGCTCTGTACGGGAAAGACAATATGTGGACCGCTGAGATGTTTGAGGACCTTTGGTGCGAAGATTATAAATTCCAAGTTGGCATGGCAATCGCTAATATCAAGCAGGACATTTGAGAAGGGTGTAGCGCTCTTGGCGATGAAGGTCGCACCGAACCTCCTTGCACCAAAAGCTATCGCTGCCCGACAGAGGTTGAGTGGCCTTGTCCGACCTTTCTACCAGGCACGAAAGGATGAGAACTCGGATGTGGCGAAAATTCTTCAAGACCGAGCTAGGTATCTACGTGAGCTGGGGATGCCATCCGAAGACCTTTCTCAGACTGAATTTGTAATTTTCGTTGCTGCGACGTTGAATACGGCATCGAGCATGTTCTGGACATTTGCCGAAGTTTTCTCCAGGCCAGATTACATTGAGCGTGTCCGGCAGGAAGTTCTACAGGTTGTCGTGGAAACCAAAAGCGAGACAAGACGATATGTGACAATCAATGCCAAAAGCCTGGAAGCAGACTGTCCTTTCCTGGGCGCTTGCTTCCGCGAGGTTTTGAGGCTTCACAGTGCCCAGGTAGGATATCGACGTGTTATGAAAGATACGATGCTGGAAGACACGGATGGCCGTCAATATCTGTTGAAGGAGGGCACCAATATGCAGTGGTCGGCAAGCGTCACGCATTTCATGCCGGAGATTTGGGGCGACGATGCCGTCTCTTTCAAGCCGGAGCGATTCCTTGACGTTGATCCTCGGGATGAGAAACGGAGACGTGGGGCATTGATCCCGTTCGGCGGCGGCCGTTATCTGTGCCCCGGCCGTCACTTTGCCCGAACGGAGACCCTCGGGTTCGTTAGCGCGTTAGCTCTTGGGTTTGACGTGGACGGCGTGAAGGTTCCTGCGGCGGAAGCTCCGCCTCTAGGTGGAGCGACGAGACGACCGGCGGGTAATCGGGCGGCCGAGGATATCAAAGTCTCGCGGCGAGAGGGTTGGGAAGACGTGACGTGGAGATTCGTATGCTAGGTCGTCCTTTAGAACCTATAGCTTCGTTGCTCAAGATCCATCCCGTCTGGGGTGAAGCTTTAGTTGGAAGCATGTCAAATCGGTGAAATGTGATGACATTGCATTTGTCCCATGCCGGCGAAGCAGGATCTTAGTCAGTCGACATACTTGAGAGTCGAAAGTTGCGAACGCAGACCACTCAGTGCCTTTGCTTGGGCAAAACGGAGCTGAAGCAACCGATGCGAAGTAGTCCCGCCGTATGATTGGTGATATCGTTCAGCAGCGACACACAATGGCGGAAGTGGTTGCAGCCGGCAAGTGGCCCCCTGTCAATCCCGGCGTCATGCGTTGAGCTGCCAGTCTGCAGGTTGAAGAGTCTCTGGCGCCGCAATTGGCAGAAAGCGGGAGGATGCGGTGTTGCGTGACGAACCAGATGGAGTGTCGTGCCGCACATAAGACGAGGGGAATCCAGCCATACACGGGTGACGGAACAGCGGGCGATAGTCGACGTGGTCGATCTTATGGGATGATTCGGCGAACCGCTATCAGCCAGGCACCTTTTGGCCTCCCGAGTTGGTGATGTGATGCAAGGATGAGATATGGGGGCGGGAGCGATAGCGAATGGCGCATAGAGTTGGACGATGAGCGATTGGCTGATGGAGGGTGGAAGACACGCTGACAATGTGCATTTGCAAAGCCGGTGCCGAATTCATGGCAGAATAACACAACGTTTGACCGTGAGGTAACCAGACATCCCATCCCTTCCATAATTGTAGTTTGTCGTTGGTCAGGGGGCCTCCAAGCGCGTTCGTTGGCTTTGCCTTGCTTGCTCTCAAGGGTCTAGATGAGGTAGTGGATGGAGTACTCGGGGTCTATGCATCCACGGCTGGTAGGCGTCGGGATGAGCCATCGGTGAAGGGCGTTGGGTGAAGCTATGGTTGTCTCTGCCTCTTCACCGCCCTCTGGCGGCCGGGGGGTCTGTTCGAATCCCCTGCATCTTTGTTGCGGTCAGGGTTTGCTAGATATTGACCTACTTTTCTTGGATTGTTCTTTTGCAAGGAGCGCGGATAGCTGCCGGCGGGGCCTGTGGGATCTCGCGAGGTAAGGTAGTTCAGTAATTTTTTTTTTCTGTCTTCGGCTCTCGCCGGACGCTGTTGCACCGAGCCGCTGGATGTGCCTGATGTCCGACGAACACGGACAGGAAGAAGACAAGTTGCCGCGATTAGAGGAGTAACTGGCCGATTGTCGGCAGAATTAGATTACCAGGGTGGAGTTGATCGAGAAGCTTTCCGCAACTTTCTTGGAATGGTCAATGGATGAGGTAATAAGGTCAGGTCGCAAAAGAGCTTTTCCTCGAATTTGTGGTTGGCGCACTGCAGAAAGGAAAGTGCGTGCCTTGGGCGGGTCGCTGTTCCAGGGCAGGCACGGGATCTTGGGAGCGAGTTTGGGGAAGGAGCTGTTTGTGGGGACCTTCCAATGGAAGGGGAAGGAAGGGGAAGGGTGACGGAAAGAGCTGCCACGGCCCACGCCGTTCTTTCTGTTTTGCTGTGCTGTGCTTGCCCAAGCTTCTTCACGGAATACACCTGCAATTTCGAGACGAGGAAGGCGCAGTTTTGCGTGATAAATGATTCTCTCAGCCTCTTCCCCCGCACTTTGCATTCGAAAAGGCAAGATGTAGCACTTTCCCTTCTTGGTGTATCTCTGCTGGAAGCTACACGCCGAATGCAATGGCATTCAAAGACAAGTCATGAGTCTGACGTACTTTATTTATTATGATGGCAACCAGTCGTCCCTGCTTCATCGGCCTTGCCTGCCCCCGCTTTCCTTCTCAGCCCAACACAAAGGCCCAGCGGTGATCCATGGACGGGGAAGGAGAGGCCGGGTGGTTGGGGGGACCTGAACCCTGCTTGACGGAAGGAGCCCCTGACCACCCGACCTAATCGTGTCAACTTTCCTTTCCTCGGTGCCTCTGCATACCTTACGTAACTTCCTTTCCAAGTTCTCTCAAGAACAGAAGAGCCCAGGGATCGTTGAAGCATTGGAGTGCTCGGGTGACGGGAGTGACATGGCCTCCCGTCCCAGTTACAGTTGGCGCTGACTGTGCACCAGCACCATCGTCCCGTTGTCGGTGCCAGGTGGGCCCTTTCCCCTTCAAGTTTCTCCTCATTCCATCGAGAAAAGCGGAAAAAAGCTTCAGGTTTCCAAGATTGTCGGGCCAGGTCCGGGCCCATGCGACACTCAGCGCCGCCCGTCCTGCCGCTGCTGCGCTCCTGCACCTCGAAGCTCTTCATGGCAGTGGGCGGGTCCTTCCCAACTTTCCCCCCAGGGCCCCAGGCACAGAAAAAAACACAAAACTGGGCGATTCGGTCATTTGATGCGTCATCATTGGCTGGGGCTGACCTGGGGGAAGCAATGGAATGGGGGTCCAGGGTGGCTCCCAGGAGCGAGGGGAAGGGCGGCGGGCGGCGGACGATACGTACCGGCAGCTTTCCCGTCTTCGTCTCGTCAGTCTGTCACTGAGTGAAGTCTGTCTGTCACCGTCACGTAACTACCTAAGGTAAGGTACTCAGGTATTGAGTTTGCTGCTGACAGCATTCGAGTGAAGTGCCTCAGTCCTCTTTGTCTTTGCGCATCTACCAGCCTGTCTGTTAATTTTGAGTGAAGCAGAGAATGTGAGTTCAAATGGAATAGCCAGGTTACACATAGGAAGAACCCCAACAGCTCCATCTTACAGATAGAATGTGTACCTCATCTTCTTCAGCAAAACTGATACGAAACATTCTTGAGCATGTCAGGATCTAGCCATAGCGTCGGTTATTGAGGGTCTCGTTGACATTACATGTACCTGGATGGGATAGGGCATCACAACTTGCCGGATGAACTTTGTCAAACAATCATACTACGTGACTGCTTACATCTGCGGTCAACAACGGTCGATATCAAGGTCATATTCATGGCCCACAGCATCGACGCGACGCCTTCTCGAGTCTCAGATGAAAGAGTTGAAGTGACAAGAGACACGCAGACACGGCGCGCAACACCCAAGACAACACGCAAGGCACGCCACCTTAATTACCCCAACCTTTGCCTCCATTCCCCTTGCTGCGGGTGAGATACCTGACTCTCTCCATCATAATTGTACTTTTAAGATGCATGAGCATGGTCGTATACGCAGCATCACGCCAAAAAGTTACCTTAAACCTCAGCCAGAACAAAAGGAAGACACGGCCCTTCGCACTCTCGCCCGACTCGCCCTGGGGAACCCCGCGCCCTGGGGCCATAATTGTCCACCGCCAGTTTTCCAGAGGTGCTTGGAAGTTGGGGCATCCCGCATGCAACTCTCTGCATTGTGCATTCTGCATCTGTCTGGTGGCTTGCCTTGCTTTCCCCTCCCTCCCTCTGTTACGATTCGAGCACGGCAGACAAACCCACTCGTTCCTTGCCTGCCCGAAGACTAGAGTGATGATGTGACAGCCCATTCGTAAGAGATGCTTTGCAGAGCTGCCGTGCGTCCCTCGTTTCTGGCATGCGGCGATGCGCTGTCGACTTTCAACGTTCTCTTCTTCCCCGCCCTCGTTCCTGTTCCCGTGTTCCTCGATCAGATGCTTTGACCTTTGACGGCAGTACTATTGCCAACGGACAGTCGCACTAAGACTCTGCGGACCGTCTCTTCCTGCATAAGCTTACCTGGCCTTACCTTGCCATAGTGTGCCATGGTACGGATAGGGCCCCTTGGATCGTCCATGTCCCCTTGCGCATCTTCGTCCCCCCCTCGTTTTCCCCCCATCGTCTCCTTGCTGCTCTCCAGCTCCTCCACGCCTTGCGCGCCGTTCGGTCCTGTCTTGAAGCTTCTGCGTTCGTCGTGAGGCGCAAGATACCTTGTCAGTCAGCTTGGGTTCCCTGCAGCTTCGAGAGGAAGGAACTGTTCAGGAAGGAACACACGTCTGAATACGCAACTACCTACCCGGATCCTCCTTTCCTTCCTCATTTTCTACATTGTCGGCTCTTTCCTTCCATCCAAATCGACATTAGGAAAAGTACGTAGCCCATTTCTTGCCTAAGGTACCTTACCTACTCAACCGGATAGTCACGTGAAGTCATCACCACATTTTCCTCGAGTCTGGTGCGGTAAAAGCTACCTACCGGCACCTTACGACTCGACTTGAGCATCCACGGACAAAGCAACCTCACCAACTCATCACGTCAAATCTGTCAATCGACAAAGGAGCCCACCGGCTTGCGGCAGGGAAAACAACATCCATACGTACTTCGTTCCCCGGGCGCGGCGCATCGACATCATCGTTTCCCATCAACGGGGGGCCACCTGTCTCACTAGCGCGAACGAACCTCCCCCGGCATCCCTGTCGCGTTCCGGCTGATTTGCGCCCATTTGCCAGCGGCGGCCCCAAGGTCACCAGCTCACGGTCCCAAGTCCCCCAAGTCCCCCATCCTGAGGTACGGATAAGTCTCCAAGCAACAGCAGGTCGAGTGGTCGAACTCGACTTTTGTACCTAGCCGCGTCTCCAGCTTGACCTCTCACCACCACCTTGCAGACTGCAGTGATCAAGGGTGAACCACCTTGTCACCTTGACCTTGATCTCGACCTCTCTCTGGAGTCTTTCCCCCCATCCCCGAAAGAGACAAGACAAGACACCACCATCTCCTCAACCCACCCACACCAACAAGAACCGGGACCCTGTCGCCAGTCCACCGTCACCTCCACCTGGACCTTCACACCCCCTGGCCCCCGAGGTGCTGCAAAAAAAAGAGGCGAGGGCCAAGGAAAAGAAAGAGAGGGAAAAAACGAGAGTGAGCACAGGCACAAGCTGTTCAATGCCAGCAGCCGGCCAGCCCAGCTCCACCGAAACAGGATCCGACCAGGGGAATCCAAAATAATTCTGCGTCCGTGTAACACAACAGTGTGTCGCGATCTTCCTCTGCTCCTCGACCCTTCCCTCCTACTTCCCTACCTTGCTTCACACCTCACCTCACCTTACCTCTCACTCTCAACCTTACCCTCCCACAACACCACACTCACGGTTCTTCAACCGTCGCCCTGTCGAACCCTCAGCACCGCGATTAGCACCGAACGATACCTTTACCTATCGAGCGATCCTCTTCGGCACCCGCATACAGTTCTGCTTTTGCGATAGCATCCACTGCACCCTAGTCGCCGTCGCGCTGACGCACCCTCCGATACCTATGTGCAATCCACCCTGTGGGCTTTGAGCTAAAAACTCGGCGCGATGGATCCAAGACAGCCGCCACAGCTGCCCTTCTCGCGCAACGCTGCTTCACAGTACAGCCGCTCACCTTTTCCTCCATCGTCGAACACGACCGCGACATCAACACCGAACCAGTCGCCATTCCCACCCGTCTCCCACCCGCCTGCGAACAATCCTCCATATGCCGAGCATCAGCGACGCTCCTCAGAAAATCCATACTACTCATCGGGCCCGAGATCGTTCCCACAAGAGCCCAGCTCGGGTCCTCCTCCTCCTCCTTCGGGCCACTCTCGACACCCGAGTGCATCCTCATTACCTGGTGGCCCGCCGATGAATCGTAATATGCCTCCTCCGGGCTCTCCTCCCCAGCCCGGGAACCCACCTCCCCCGGGATCGCATCAGATGGGGCACTATGGCTTGCCTGTGCCAAGAGCTCCGCCGTTGAATGTTGGTCATCCAACTTCATTCCCGGGGGGCCGCGAGCTACCCTCGCTACACTCAATACAAAGAACGGGGAGCACCGGTAGTTCAATGTCAATATCCTCCATGTTGGGCGGGCCTCCGGCAGCGCAAAGAGACTCGCAGCCGCCGCCTTCGCATTTTCCTGCGCCTGCGACCTCGGCGCCCTCTGGGCCGACGTTCGCGCCGACGATGCAGGCTTCCCCGAGAATGCACTCTGCATCTTCCGACTACCAGCCTTTCAGAAGACCTCAGACACCAGACCATCAGCGCCCGTATGATCCGAGAGGCAGCGCTGCTGCGTCACCACAGGGTGCGTATTCGACCACGCCCGAGATGCAGCGGTACGGCACACCCCAGCAGAGCTACCACCAGCGCGGACCTTCAGCTCAAGATGGTAGAGAATCGAGCCGAATGCCTCAAGGCCCTCCACCGAGGCCTACGAGCCAGCCAAAGTCGTTCCAGAATATGCCGCCGAGGTCTGCCGACATGGGTCGAAATAACGGACCGGAAGAGATGTATCCGAGGCGAGAGGAGATATCCAGAGGCTCAATGGAGTACAATCCTGAAAGACCCGGTCTGAAGCCCATGACCTTTGATGACCGTTACCGCGCAGAAAGAGATCGCCGGGATGAGATCGAGTTCAGGGAAAGGGAGCAGGCAAGGGAAAGAGAGCGCAGAGACAGAGCATATTCTGGAGGCGACGGCGGTCGAGGACCTCCTGTACACCAGGGCGAATATCGGCCCCAGGAAGTTCAAAGAGGCCAGCCTCCACCATTCACCCGGCCCCCGGAGCAGCAACGTGAACAAGGCCCTTGGCCGCCGAGACAGCAGCCGCCTTTTGATCAGTCCAGAGTACCGTACGATCCCGCTGGACTACACCCAAGGCATCACGACTACCCTCCGACCTCTGCGCCTGGCTACCCACCTCAAGCTCAGGGTCATCCCGCTCCAGCTCCTCAGTTCCAGCAACAGCCACCTCCCAACGATCGGTATCCTCCTCCCAATCATGCTCAGCAGCCCCCTCCAGGCCAGCCTGGGCCACCAGGGCAGCCCGGCCAGCCTGGTCAGCCGCACCTGCAGCTACAACAGCCGCAACAGCAGCAGCAGCCTTTTGACTCTCCCGAGCGACGGATAAATCACCTACACCCCCAAGGGCAACCGCCTCCGCCGCATCGCCGTCCTGTCGAGGAAGGCCCGCCGCCTCCATCAGTCGCATACAGCACACCTCATGGCCCGCCAATGTACGATTCGCCTCGCAACCGACCTGCTGAAGAGCATCCAAACAATACCCAAAGAAATTTATTGGCGGTCCAGGAGATCAATCGGAAAGGACGAGTATCGCCATTACCTCAGGCTGTCCAAGGAGCACAATCACGACAGCCAGGACCACCAGGGCAGCTCAGCATAAAGAGCGAGTTTGGTAAGATGTTCTCCGGGATAGGAAGCGGAGTCACCCTTACTGGCAGCCCTGTCAACACAGTGACTCCATCACCATACACAAACGCAAGTCTTGCAAGACGCGACGAAACAGACGGCCCAGCGCACGAGTCTGGACCAGACACCGCAGCGCCCAAACCCAAGGGCAGGCGGAGAAAGTTGAAGGAAGATGACACCAAGGGTGACGAGGAGAGCACGGGACGACTGACGCCTGTTGGTCGAGCAAAGCGCCCGAAGACTCATCAACACCACCACCATCAGTACGTCCCGGTTCCCTCTGGTCTTTCTACAACGACTAACGACGACAGCCATCATCACCATCATCACCATGGTCATCATGCTGTCGATCACGCCAATGCCCCCACCCCTACTCCCAGTGGCGGCACGCCTTTCAAGAACGTCAAGGGAAACACCCCCATCCCATCTCCGACAGGACTGGCGAAGGATTTGCCGGCTGCTCACCACCATCATGTTCCTCGACCAGCGCATCAGCATCAACACGTGAAGGAGACGCCCGCCAAGCAGGCCGTGCACAGCCCGACGAATGTTCTTCCTCCCAAGCCGAAGACGATTGTAACCTCAAAGGCTGTGGTCGAATCGGTCGCTCACTTGCCGCGAACTCATCTGGGCGATGTGCTCTACGAACCCAAGCTCAGCCCCGCGAGACAATTGCCAAATGTTCCATCAGGCCGCGGATTTTCCTCGACACCTATGCCACTTCCTTGGAATGTCATCAAGGACAAGGAGAACTGCACACTCACTGTGAAGGTACCCAAGGTGCACCTGACTCCAGCGGCAAGGGAAGAGATCACGGCTCGCAGGGCATTATGGGGCACAGACGTGTACACGGACGACTCAGATGTCGTTGCTGCCTGCATTCACGGCGGATGGATTCGGGGTGAATGGGCTGATGATGTGGACGTGGCAATGTTGGACCTCGATCGTGGTATCAATGCCCCCGAAAGAGAAGTTCCGGCAACGAAAAGACGCAGCAAGGAAAAGGATAAGGAGGAGAAGGCCCGATTGGAGGCGAACTCGGCCACATACCTCGACAAGCCGCCCAGGACGGGCCCTGTCACTGTACCCGTCGATCGCGATATGCACGTCAGCCTCGTGGTTCTCCCACGATTGGATAAATACGGTAGCACTACTCGCTTCGGCATCCAGTCGCGAGAATTTGGCGGACGGTACAATGGTCGACAGTCGGTCCATGACGGCATCAGCTACATGATTACGGGTATTCGCTGGGTCACGAATGGCGCCGGCACGCAAAACCGTCTCCGTGGCAAAGGCCGCAGAGAGCGAATGCGCAAGGCCATGGGAGAGATGCACGCGGCCAGCCGAGGCCTTAACGGGGCCGAGCTGGAGCGCGAGAAGCTTCGCCTGAGCAAGATTCGAGGGGAGATCGTCTCCGGCACCTGGTGGAAGAGGAACCAAGGTTCGCGTGCCTTTGGCGAGGACAAGGAAGAACGAGCGCCGAGCGAAGGGGATAAGGAAAACAGAATCGACGGCGAGCCTCCTCAAAGTGCGGCTCCCAAGGCGAACGGAGTTACCACAAATGGCGCTTCGGCGTCCGATGACGACAAGATGGATGTGGATAGTGCCGCCGCAAAGGTGTCAGATGTTCCAGTTGCTTGAGCTATCTATCACGGCTTGATTTGAAGGCGAATGGCATATGAGCATTGAGCAGCGGATGACAAAGTTGGAGTAGTTTTGTAGGAGTAGCGCTGGTTATAATACCCAATACTTTTTGAATACTTGAAGTGGTTCGAGGTCATGAGATGGTATCTTGATATGATTATGGCGACTAGTTACTATACACTGATGATACAATGCGAGAGGTTCTCTTCATTTAAATGTGTTGCCTGACAGAAGGTGTCCCAATGTCTTCTGGCGTCGCTTTGCAAGGCGTATCGCCTCCATCTTTATCGAGGCCAAGTCGCTCTCTCTCTCTTTCTTTCCTTCTTCATTAGAAGCGCCCGACTTCCTAGCACATCTACCCCGCAAAGAAGGAGACGTTCATGGGTACTCTAGAAATCCGTCACGCGACCGTTGTAGCTCCAATCGCCACCAGACCCCCAACGAAGCGGCTCCCTCTTGGGCCCGCCGACCTCGCCGGTGCGCGGGTTGACGTCGCCCTCGAACTCTGCGGGGGCGCCGCGGACGTAGTTTGGGTGCATTGTGTCCTCGTCCGTTGCTGCGATCGTGGGGGTCGCAGTGGTAGCAGGTTCGGTCGCGGTTGCTGTTGTGGTAGCCTCGGCGGCGACTGAGGAGCTGGAAGAGGTAGAGAGTGGTTCGGCAGAGGTAGATGAGGCGTCGGCGGGGGTTTCGGATTGCTCTTCGACGAGGTGTTGGAAGGCGCTGGACACGGAGGCCTGGCGCTGGAGACGCTCGAATTCGGCTTGTTGGTCTGCTGGAAGGCGGGGGGGCGCGGGGCCGCGGGAGAAGGCTGAGGTTGAGGAGAGGCGGGATGGGAGCGAGGGCTTTGAGAGGTTGAGGAGGGGGCGGAGGCGGAGGAGGCGAGACATTTTGGGTGTTTTGTTGACTGGGTTTATTGTGGTTTGATTTGGTTTTGGATCGTAGAAGTTTGGGTTGGTGGAGGAAAGGTGTAAGGTCGTTGTTGACGGTAGTGATGGTGGTGATGTGAAGAGTGCGGGTTTTGGAGGTGGACGATTTCGGGACGATGGCGAAAATGCTCGGTAAAGAGAAAAATGTCACAATGTCATTGACGCGGGTTGGTCGGAGCGCTGCGCAGTGCAGCGCGGGAGGCGTTTTTTTTGTTTGGACCCTTGCTGGTAGCTGTACCCCTTGGGTTCCCCAATGAGCGGCGCCATCCATGGCTTTGGGCTTCCGGTGGCGGAGGCGGATGGGGCCGAGGTTTGCCGTTGCGGAAGCTCAGCAGGTGCCTGGCAGGCCTGGAGGTACCTCCCGGGTGGATGACATAATGGGATGCCCGTGGGCGGGCTCTAAACTCTGTGATCACGGAGTTTGAACCCTCGTACTAACTAGTATCGTTGTTTGATTCTGTGAGTCAATTAGTAGCTCATGAATTCAACTCATTTCCAGCTAGAGTTTCCTATCATTGTTACTCCTGCCGCCATTATTGTAAATTCGACCTAAGTAAATACCCCTCCTCTCTAATTGTCTCCTGAGGTACATTCGTTCTAGAATACACGTAGAGCACCCTCAAATAGGCGGGGACGTGTTAATAGCAGGTTACTGTGGCTGATTTCATTTCTATGGAACTTGCCTATCTTGCTTCCGGTGCCTGCCTCAGATTGAACCCCACAATCAACTATTCGATGTTGTGCTTCCGTTTCCAAGCTCAAATTCATACTCTTATATACCTATTCCAATATTCCAAAAGGAAAGTCTATTTGATAGGCGCAACAGGTTTGAGTACGAGATACGTGCCTGGCTGCTAGTCCTCTCGTTTGTGCCAGGCATACAGATTAATCTTGTCAACCAGCTGGCCAAGCCGCCATATAAAAGAGCCCAAGACTTGCGCCTAGTTCTCAAGCCCGAGAGAAGTATCGGTTCAGAGGGATCAGTCGGCAGACAACTGCAGGCTGCATGTATTGTCAAGGGACAGACTCGACGAGGCGAGAAAACTGTTTCATCAGCCTTCTGAGAAGGCCCGGTTTACCATTCACAGACGCTACTATCAGTATGTCTACCTAAAGGTTCCTTACCTCCTCCATCACCCCTCGACGTGTATTGCATATAGAATACATCAAGACACATGAGATCTCACTTGGGACGAAGAGCTGTTTTGAACCTTTAGGGTAGCCGAACGACAAGCCTAGAACATGCCAGTAGCATGTTCATAAAGTTTGACGGCCGCTCATTGCAACAACACAACGGGACAATGGAGCGGGTTCTTGGGCAAGGAAAACTAAAAAGTGTCTTTCTCCGCCTTTATATACAGAACCCCTTGGTTCTCGGGTTTGGCCTGTGATTCGTGATAGAGACTCTTCATCTGTCTCCCACCTCCTTCACCGTGACTTGGACTATCTCAATGTTTCACAGCAGCTTACGTTCCCTTCGCCCTCGGTAGCGACCGTATCATAGCTTCCGAATCACGATCTTTGAACTCCATCAACGGGCATTGATGGATATTCTCCGCCAAGTCCACCTGAGCCCAAACTTCCAAGACGGCATTATGGGCAACCTTCCACATGACTGGCGGGCTGGTGCTTCCAGGAACACATCATTCTGGGAAGAAGTGAAGGAGGATGGCACTGATGTCAAGCGCTCCAATCATATCCACGTCTGCATCGCTGCCATCCCGACTCGCCGGGAATCCCAAGCCCGACACGCGAGCTGATGAACAACCCCCTGGTAAGCTTAAACTCACGACGGCAGCCCCGGAGAATTTAAGCTTCAACGTCCGTCGGCTCCAGGAACGCACCCCATGGCGCGGAGTACAGCGGTTTACATGCATGTCAGGGGATCGGCTCTGAACGAGCACGTTTTCGTATCATTTTCACTCCATGTTAGCACCATATTGCTATAGATACCAGTACATTGTCCTCACGGCCAGCCAGCCAGAAGAGACTCGCAAGTTCGCATCCACAATCCTCAGTTCCATGATTGCCATCATCCAAGGACCATGCCCGGCGCGTTGTCTCCATCGTGGGGTGTCCCCCGGACCCCCGCTCCGGCAGGGGCAACGCCCGCTAATCCCACCAATCCCCCACCACCTCCGATATTGCGGTCTCGAATCTTGGCAGAATGGCTGGTTGCTCTTTCGCCGGGCAGACCGTGGACGGCAGGTTAACGGTCCACTTTGAAGACAACGCCGAGTTGACTGATTCCCTTCCCTCTTTCTGAGAACTGTTTGCCTATAATGGGCTTCTGAGGAGAATGGACCCGAAATTGGCGGGATGATTGCAGCCTGCGGCGTGTCTGATGGGCTCGCTTACACGGAGACTGGCCTGCGGCATATGTGGTGTTCTCGGAAGATGACTTACACGGCGCTGCCCCTCCACTCCCTTCACACCTCCATGATGAACGACCTTTGATAAACGATATAAATTTCCCCATCCACTCCCTCTTCTACTCCGTCCTCCCACCGGCTCACTCTTCATCACAAGAATAAGGGACCTCCAAGTTCCACCCCATCACGCCCAAAATGCGTCTCCTCTCAACCCTAACATCCTTCCTCGCCCTCGCAGCGGCACCCCTCGTCTCCGCCTTCACGAACCCCATCCGCCGCCCCGGCGGCTCCGACCCGTTCCTGACCTACTCGGGCGACGGCTACTACTACCTCCTTTCAACAACCTGGTCCACCGTCGAGATCGCCCGCTCCACCACCATCGAAGGGCTCAAGACCGCCACCAAGAAAGTCGTATACTCCTCCGCCGACGCCTCGCGATGCTGCAACGTCTGGGCGCCCGAGGTCCACTGGCTGGGCAACCGGTGGTACATCTACTTCACGGCGGGCGGGAGCGCGAACCTGGATAACCAGAGGATGCATGTTCTGAGGGGTATGTCTCTAGCTAACTCTACACATCTCTCACTCACCCTCCTCTCCTTCTTATTACTAGCTTAAACAATATCATGAGAGAGCCTCGTCACTAACATACACCAGGCGGCACGACCCCCTGGGACGCCTACACCTACGTAGGCCGCATCGGCCCCGACGAATGGGCCATCGACGCCTCCGTCCTCCGCACCCCCTCCCTCGGCGAATACCTCGTCTTCTCCTGCTTCCACGGCGCAACCTACCAATCCATCTGCATCCAGAAGCTCAACACGGACTACGTCTCCACCTCCGGCTCCGTCGCCCTCATCTCCCAGCCCACCCAAGCCTGGGAACGCGTCTCCCACCCCGTCAACGAAGGCCCCGCGGCGCTCTACTTCGGCGGCAAGACCTACCTCGCGTACTCGGCCTCGTACTGCTGGTCCGCGTCCTACTGTCTGGGCCTGTTGACCTGGGACGGGAGCAGGGCGCCGACGGATCCCGCGGCGTGGACGAAGGGGAACGGGTGCGTGTTGAGTAGTGGGAACGGGCATTACGGCACGGGGCATAATAGTTTCTTTGCGAGCCCGAAGGGGGATCAGACGTGGATTGCGTACCATGCTACTGCGAACAGCGCGGGCGCGTGCGATGATAGTCGGTATACCATGGTGCAGATGCTCGGGACGCATAGTAACGGCTCGCCTAACTTTGGGACGCCTGTTGCTTTTAGTTATGCGTATGGTGAGCCGTCCAAGTGAGTTGGCGATGGGGGGAAGGGGGTTGCGAGGGATGTTGGAGGGAGGGAGAGGTAGGGTGTTGATGACTGTGATGCTGGGGATGAAGATATGAGGAAATGAGATGACGCTACAAATGGTGGATGAAGGGAGGATACTTGAGAGTTGATGTTCGATTCTTGTAAATATTTCTTTGTTAGGGTTGGATGTACATAACTATCAAGTTTATCTGAAAGACTTTTATTGATTTTCAAGCCAATTGACGACTCATCAGGAGATGAAAATAAGGACAACATTGCAAGACACCACTGATCCAATGTAGCTGTATCAGATTAAACACATGGAATAGGACGTGAGATGCGATCCTTCGGGTTACGTGATTACTTGAGATCAAAACATGGGATCAAAACATAAGTAGGTGACCAAGCATACAGATGACTGACTTTCATGGGTCTCAAAATTTCATAGTGGATTGCTCAGGTTAGGAGAGGCGGCAGGTGTGAAAGGTATTAGTTATTCTTGGTCATCTTATTTCCAACTTGACTGCCGGCATCAGCCTTGTGCCATAGCTCTACACTGCATCCATAAATGCCTGTGGCTCGGGCCGGTTACTCTATACAGGGTATGCCATCATTAAGTCCCCATTTTCATACTCTACTTGAGGTATCGTGTGTTCAAAACAATTACGCCGTCGCTGTTGGATGGTATCATTCGATAATGTCGGTTGCAGTCAGCCCGGCGTTTGGAGCATCGCCTCTCCCACCTTGATCATGGCTGTGCAATTCCGGAGGCCGCGTATCCTAAATCTGGCCATTGCCGACAAATTCCCGCTGCACTTCAATCTCACCGCTGTCGGCGGTAAACCGTCGCTCGAGAACCCATCTGGTCTCGCCGCTCTCCTCCTCCTTGATATATGATATACTGTCCGCAGACCCCTTGTGTTTGTGACCCATGCCGGGCCTCCGCTGAGGTTGGGGCGTCGGGTCGATCCGGGGCACGAGGTTCGGATGCATAGCCGTATCCGGGCTCTTCATCCACAAGCCCGAGTGGGAAATGGTGTTGGAAATTGATAGCTCATCCATCTCGTCAGACTCTGGAACGGGGTCGAATGCCGCGCTGTGCGTGAAGTGGGGGGAGTTCATGACCACCGCAGGACTTTGTGTCAGTGGTGGCAGAGGCGGAGGCGGTGACCCTAGAGTGGGCATGGACATGGTGAGAGTAGGGGAGCCCGAAGTGCTGCCTGCATCCGAAGAGTCCATGTCACGGCTGCGAACAGAGAATGCCGAGTTCTTACGGCCATGGCCATGTATGCCCAGCATGTTGTGAGGCCCCGGACCCCAAGGTGAGCTCCCCCCTTCGCCCCTCTCCGATCTTGGCGAACCCTCACGACTCGAGACCAGACTGGCCTGTGATCCACCCCAAGCCCTTGAACGAAGCCGCATCAGCGCTGATAGGCTCATATTGTCGTCACCATCAGCCATCATGGCAAGTTGGGCCAGGCCGGGGCTCTGAAGACTTGACGGACCGGAACCGATGCCAGGCGGGACCGCGAGACTCATGATCGAATTACGATTCGAGTACTCGGATCTCTCCGTGATGGGCGTAAGGTTGGGCTCTCGAGATACTATTCTCCCGGACTTGCTTCGGGATACGCCCGACGGCCCAAAGAAGCCGCCGTTAGCATATTCGAAAGGCTTCTCATCCGATCCGTTGGAGCTGTCCCTACTGTGGCGCCCACCTCCTTCGACAGGAGCAGAGTAGAAACCAAACTCCTGACCATACCAACCGTCAGAGTCGTTGGCAAGGGCACTAGCATTCGCCTCCGCAATGAAGTCGTCATAGTCGACATCGTAATCATTCAGGTCTTCGCGAAACCCAGTGTCGTCGTAATCATCGTAGTCGTCCATATTCTCATGCTGTGGAAGGTCATCTAAGGACTCTCCACTGGGCGACATCAGCTCGCTCGGAGGGGGAGACGAGTCTCGCCGAAATCGACCGTTGGCGGCGGCTTCGAACGCTGCTGCCGCCAGAGCAGTCTGATAAGCATCCACCTTGTCCTGGCCCGTCGCTGAGAAGCTGGAGGTCATTGCGGAGGATTCCTGGCCTGGAGCTAGGACGTCGCTGCCTCGTTTTGACTCATCGACAGAAGGAGCCGGCATACCGACGCTGAGGGAAGTATGGGCCGTCGATTGCGATACATTCGAGTGCGCAGACAGACGTGACGTGCTGTCGGAGATTCTCTTGACATTCTCAGAGGCGTTGCCTTCTGGGACGCTGGCATCCTGACGGTCGTCCACCTTGGCTTCGGTTTCTTGCACGTTGTTCTCAGGCTGGGTGGCGCCAGCAGTCATCGCAGCTCTGGCAGCTTGAGCTCTGGCAAAGGCGCCCGGAATAGGACGGCCATACTTGTCTGTATCGTCCAGATCAAAGATGGACTCGTCAAAGTAAGAGCCATCCCCCTCGCCAGCAAATTCCAACTCATCGAGAAGGCCGTTGTCAAAATAGAGATCGTCCTTCTTGGGGACTGATAGTGGAGCGGGCGACAAAGACTTGGTTGGCTCGCGCAACGTTTCGTCCTCATCTCGTAGTTCCGTATCGGTAATATTCAAGCGGTCGATCGGAAGTTCGGCAGCAGAATCAGTCGTAGTAGGTGACAAGTTCTGATCGGGAGCAAAGCCGGGACTCAGCAGCTGGTTCAGATCTGGCGTATCTCTCGAGATGGCGAATCCAATCACCTTGCCGTCTGCATCTCTCGGCGTCGCCAGCAGACCGGCGCTTTGTGGACTGGTCAAGGCCGAGGGAGGGCCTGATCGTTGGAACACAAAGCCAGCAAAGTTCTCTTGATCGTTGTCTGGGTCGTTTGCAGCATCCTCGTCGAATTCGATCTCAACTTCTGGCACCGGATCAAGAGCAAAGGGGTCGGTTCCAGCCGCATCGAAGTCTTCACCGTCGTCAAGACCCAAAGGATCTGTGCCGCCAGCGTCAAAGTCCTCCTCGTATCCGTAGTCGTCTCCAAAGTCATTGCTCATCGGAATCGGCTCTTCGAACCCGTCGTCCTCCATCATCGCATCGTAATCAAAGTCCTCGTCAAAGTCGTCGAACCTAGAATCACGAGGTCCGTTGGGCTCAGGGTCGGACGTCTTCCTCTCGAGTTCGCGTTGACGATGTCGTTCTTCGAGCAGCTTCTCCTGCTTTGCCGCGCCGACCATGTCGAAGCTGAATCTGGAGGATGTACTCTTCAACCGTCGGGGCACAGAAGAAAGAACATCCTGCCCAGACACAGAGGCATGTCTTGAAGGGTTTGCTCTTGTGGACGGTGTTTTCTTGGATAAGATCGACGACGCACTAATCGAGGGCTTCTTGGAAACGAATGAGGCCGAGCTCGACGATGGTGCGGTATCGTCTTTGGGCGGCACGTCGGGCAGGGGTTTTGACTCCAAGTTCAAGCTGCTTCTTGTCTTCACCGACCCGCTCCCTGATTCAACAGCAGGCTGTGATATGACGCTGACGGAGCCCGAACGGCCAGATTCAGAAGCACTGCTTGTATTCCTTCCATGTTGAAACGCTTGTGAGGGTGCTGCGCTCTCTCTGGACGATGTCTGGCCCAGGTCTGACATCTCCTCAGGTATCGGCGGTTGTGCTTTCGTCCCAGGGGTTGGCGCCGCGGCAGGGCTGGGACCCTCATTATTGGGGAGGCTTCGTCGAGGTCGTGGAGCGCTAAAGTCGTGAACTCTTGTCCCGCGAATTCGAGGGTCGTATGACGGGTTTCCTCCCAGCGGGAGAGGCGTCAAGTCTGGTGCATTTTGGCTTGTTTTCCTCCGTGCAAGTAGTGTTGACATTGGGTTTTTCAGAAAAGGAAGACCTTTCCTACCCTTCGGGGCATCGGAACCATGGTTTGCCATGCGGATTGGCTCGCTCGACAACCTCGTTCCTGCAGGGCGACGTCCGGTGGCAGGATAGGCTTGAGCTTGGGGCGAGCTCTGTGTATTGCCCTGGTGATGCAGCTCGGTCGGGGTCGCAAAGGAGCCGGCATGTTTTGAGGCACTCGTGGGTTGCGGTGGGGGTCTCGTCGGAGGGGCGGTGTTTATCGGCGGGGGTGCGGGCTTCGACCTTGTGAATTGACTTTCGTGGCTGCCTTGAAGAACCGGAGACGCGACCAGATCCGGTGATTTCGCCGCCATTTGTTGCTTCTTGAGCTGTTGTTGTTGCTCCTGCTGCTCGCGTTGGTATTTGCGCAAAGCGACGCCACCGAGGAAGCCAGAGTCTGCGTTGTATGGCGAGCGCACCGGTGGAGGTACGGGCGGCTGGGGTTTCTGCGTGTTGGGCTCTGGCGTCACCCTGATCTTGGTATCGACAGTCGGTCGCTCGAGCGGGGACGGCGATTCGGAGCTGGATGAGGTGACGCGGGGAATCGGCGGCAGGGTGGGAGGCAGTGAGGAATTCGTTGTCGAAGCCTGGGGTCGCATGTCTGGGCTTAAGGCGGCATCTTGAATGAAGGGAGAGTGCTGTTGTGGAAGCGAGGGATCCCAGGGAGCAGCAGCCGAGGGCTGTTCGGGGTTTGGCGAAGTGGGATTCGACTGTCCCCTCCGGTGGATTCGTAAATGGGAAAACATCGTCGTGGTTTCGGGACGGACTAGCTACTGGATGGATGGGTGATTCAGGCGCGAATGGCGATCCGAACCACCGGCGCAGGGGTGGCGGGTGGTCGCAGAGGAGGAAGCAATTACGGAGTCAGGTTGGCGGATAACGAGCGAAGGGAAGCTGGATCGAGCTCGCGACTCCAGTCCTCCAAGTCCAATATAGTCCCCGAAAACTAGGTACTGGTAGTGTTGGCACAGGAGACTAGACGACGTTGACGGTGTCAGTCTTCAGCCTCTTGAGCGAGACGCATTCACCTCCTTGCAGACAGAGGCGCAGTCATAGTTCGTCTGTCCTGGCTCGGATGCGATGGTGTATCAGCGTCAGTTTGCGTCGACGTCAGATGCGTGTGTGCAGGCGCGAGCGTTGGGAGTGGTGTTGGTTGGCGGTGGTGGTGGTAGTGGTGGAGGGATGTCTTGGAGATTCGATGCAAGCTATTGGTAACGGTGCTTGCTGGGCATTAGACGGAGGATGTTGGAAGAAGAAAAACCCGAGTCATACGCCTGCCTGGAAGGAGTAATGAACGGACGAATACCTTGCAATAATAGTAAGGTATGGCGGGGAAGAGAGGTGGGAGGAAGGCAGTGATGAGGATGGTGGGATCAGGTTCAGGATGACGGGATGAGAAAAAAAGAGATGGAAGGAAAAGAGGCAGCAGATAACGAATAGAGGTAATTGGAGAGCATCTGTAAGCAGGTTGGGCAGGCACGAAAAAGTGCTGGATGCCGTTAGCTGTCACCACTTCTTTTCTGCTCTTGTCGCATGCCTTGCCCGGTTCTTAGTATGCGAGGTGGTATTACTCCCAGCTGCTTTTGGCGGCTGCGTGGGAGAACCTTGTCCATGCCATGCCAGTCAGGCCTCTGGGTATCTATCTCTGTCTCTCCGTCCGTCTACGGCCTGGTTTGTTTGTGCTTTGCATATCTCCTTCTTGTCACTTACTGCCATTCAAGTGATCTACTTAGTACCGTCCTGCCGAGTTTCTCAAGTGATAGACTATCTTGCCAAGGAACAGCCGAAAACGCAATAGTAGACACCGCGAATGCTCAGACATTCACGGTCCAAGGCCTTGGCTGCAGCAGCCAGGACTCCAGGACTCGGCCTCGTCTGCTGGGCCGTGCGGCTTTTTGCAAACACTAATCATTGTTACCCAACATCCAGGATCAAGGACTCGGGACCCCAATTTCAAGGATTTCAGCAGGGCGAAGGCTCAGAGAATGGAGAGTGAACAGAGTCACCGCTCGGGCTGGCGCGCCCACTGCTGCAGGTTCGCCGTGTCAATGTCATCCATCATGTCATCCTCGATGGATGATGATGGATCTTGGAAAAACGCACCAGGGTTGCTGCAGGCCATCGGGTAAGGGCAAGAAAGGGTCCAGTCCTCCCCTCCATCAGTCATTAGTGGTCTCTCCAATCTCCATCAAGACGGATGCCTGCCCGGAAATCAATAATAATAGCCAAGGTATCGAAGATGGCTTCCGACTGCATCGACCCGGTGGCTGCTACCTCCAAGTTTTCGGAAGAGACGGCTCATTGTCGACTCCCTGCCTCGTCTTCGTCTTCGTCGCTACTTTTGTCCGCTCTCCATTCCTCCCTTTCTCTCTGTCTTGTCTCGTCTCGTCTGGACTCTGGGCAACCATCCCACATATCGACATCCACACGACATCCTTAGCACATCAGAAACCCTCCGAGTGCGTCTGATTGGGCCGTGGCAGACGCAAGGCGAAATGAAGCACACCCATTCCAGAATCCAGAGATCCATCCGCAAGTGCTAATGGCCCCGTTTTCTCCGACCCCCACCATCCTTCTGACGCGGAGCTCGAGACGCCAGATTATCTGATTATGTCATCCCACACAGCGGCTGGCCGAGGAACGTGGCTTACATAATACTCGCCAAACGACTGGCTTATGTAAGTACAATCACATGCATAGCACAAGCACATGCCATCGAACTCTGCACAACTAATGCAAACCTCACCGCGAAGCAAATGTCATTCCCATTCTCTAGCATTGGGATTCTAAATCTCCAGTACCAACTGCAACTTTCCCAATAGCGCAGTGCTTAGCGCAGATCATCCCATCATCCCATCCTTTGCGACCGAATCGTCTCGTCCTAACGGGACAAATGGAAGGATGAAAGGAAGACGAAACCAGCCAGGCAGATGGCTGCCCACATCCCTATGATCGCCGTTGGCCCCGTCACCTGGTCCCTGATGAGACGAGACAAGAATTGCTCCGACTCGTTACACAGCGAACTTGACGCGACGACAACGGCAACGACAACGACATGCGATACATGCCATGAACCGTCACGCACGCGGCGGCCCGCATCTGGCGTTGGAGCTTCAGAATCTGGGGCGATGTGGAATGTGCCGGACCAGCGCATTGAGCTAGCTCCCAGAGAACACGAGGCGAGCGGCCCAACGCCGTACGGTTGCGGGATGTTGATCTCTGGCACATGCTTGCTTGTCACGTTATCCCCACAGATTTCAATTGTGTCTACATTTTCGAATACTGGCATTCTGAATGACCGTTGACATGCAAAAGGATAGCAAGCAGCCATCACAAACGAGTACCACCACGACAAAAGCAAAAGATCGACGTTGGCCTGATTCGAACAGACGCTCCCGAAGGAACAAGATTTCTAGTCTTGCGCATTAGACCACTCTGCCACAACGCCAGTGGAAGATACTGAAGCGAGTCCAGGATCCATGCTGACCGGCGAGAACTGAGGGCTCATGTACCAGCAACGATTGGGTGGCCCTGAGTCGAGATCCGCTGGCCCCACCGAGCGGATATGCTCCTGGCGGGGCGCTCCGGGCCAGATCCGGAGCGTGGAAAGGTCCTGTTCCACGAAAACCTCTATGTCGCCGATAGACTTGGGTCTGTACCGAGTGGGATTCTATGCAGACACAGCTTCTGGTCGTTAAAGATTACCCCTGGGCACATGATCAAATGGCATGGTTCACTGCCAGATCACATCTTGAAACGTCGTGATGAGGATATAACCAACTGGAACCAACATCTCTGGATATCATATTTCTCTCTCAAAGGCAAAGTGTTGTCCAGCTATAGAGGTAGGCCGGTCACTACGCATTTTATCTACACTCACCTTGTAGGCTTCGGCTTGTTCATATAACCAACCGATCCAGACGAATCATAGTCTCGCCCCATCTCGTCGTCGTTTTCGAGGTCCCCAGCTTCGGCTTTCGCCCTCGTGGCATCAACAGCCGCCATTCTCTGCAGCTTCCACTCCTCAGTGATGTATCCAGATCTAAACCCACCAGCCTCCAGATCCTGCTGGAAATCCATATTCGGCCCAACCAGCGCCGTGGCCATCTCTCTCGTCGAAGTCATCACCTGCTCAAGCAACTCCTTCTTCGCCATCCTCAAGTCCCGAACCAGGTTTCCCACGACATTCATCTCCATCCCGCTATCCCCAAAGTGCCGCCTAAGTGCCCCCTCAATCCCGTTCCACACCCCGTCCGTCGTCTTCGCCATCCCCTGAACATACCCCAGCGCAGCATCCCACATGTCGCGATACACCCGGTTCATAAACTCCATCTGCCCCAGATCCGCACGCCGCGTCAGGTCCTCAATGATAGTCTTCATACGATCCGAATACTCGCCCCGGCGCTCCACCTGCGCCTCGCTATCGAGGTAGGCGAGCCGGTGCCGGACGCGGCAGTCCGCGCAGAGCTTGTGGGCGCGCTTGGCGTACTCGTCGCGGTGGATGGCTTTGGCGCTGCGCTCGTCTTCGAAGCCGGCCCAGACGGCGCGGCAGTAGTGTTGCGGGAGGCCTGGGAGGGCCATGTGGTTGCATTCGCGCTGCTCGAGGTAGTCTGCAAAGTAGTCGCCGCAGCCGCCGTTTTCGGGGCTGAGGCAGCGTTGGAGGGCGAAGACTTTCATGCACATGGCTGGGTTTTCTGTGGTTTCTGTGAGTTTTTTTGGTGGGAGATGAGGTTGGGTACCTTGAATGAGTCTGCCTTGGGTCGTTTGTTAGCCGTTGGTTTTGGGTTTCTTGTAGTGAATGTGTGGCTTTCTTGTAATGCGATGTGATGTGAGTGATGTACAGTCAACGGTCTGCGGTTTGGGAGAAGGCAGCAACTCGCTCCTGATATATACCACTGAGTCAAGTCCTGGCGTAGGCCCCCGGGCTTCGAGAAAGAATGCCAAAGAATCTCGAGACAAGGTGTGCTGAGAAGAAAGGCCTCTAACATTGACAATTGGTTTGTCCGACGCAAAGGCCGAGACAAGGTGTGCTGAGAAGAAAGGCCTCTAACATTGACAATTGGTTTGTCCGACGCAAAGGCGCTTGTCGAGGTCATAGTACAACGAGACAACACGGACAAAGTGATACCAGACGGCAGCACTTTACCGCCAGTAGCATCGCTTGTCGTCGAATCACAAAGAATCAAGTACACGATATGCCGAGTCGAGATAGTCAAGGGCTCGAGACGGTCTGTGTCCAGTTGATCTGGGCTCGGTGCCTAATCTGGGGCTGTTGCTTCGTCTGCCTGTTTTGTTCTACTGTTTTCGACTTCGTTGCAGAACAATGCCCTTGTGAAAGTGATCGTAATACTATGAAGGTGTTTTGGAAACTCTGTCTTAGATACTCGAGGTAACTCCGAAAGCTGAACCGAGTCAACGAGAATGAACTCTCCAAGACTTTTGGAAGCAGTTATCAAGGACGAATAGAACGGAGATAGGGGAAAATCGAGCTATAAACAGAGTACTCTCACCCAGAACCTTTGGTTTGCTTGCCTAACTTGAGATCGCGATGATCTCCAGCACCACCCTCTCCTACAAAGCCATCGATAGAAGCTTACTTTATATGGGAAACCCTGGTTAAAGTGCTCTACACCTAGCTAAGCCTCACCAAATAGTCGTTTCAGAGGCTTCTCTCATAAGAAAATCGAGAAACCTGTTGTCGCGGATAAGATCAACCATGTTCAGATCATGTCTAGCACCAATCATCGTCGAATTCCGACTCCGAAGGTACCTTTGGCGTCGGAAGCATAAGACTCGGCGACGAAGAATCTTTCGCGGTTCGCCAGATCGGGTTTGGTTTGGGTCGACGTGGGGATAGACAGACCGTCTCTTTTAACGAATGGAATGAGAAAGCACATGCTATTATACTGTGTAGGTATTGCCTCGATCTTGGGCCCCAAGTATATGGGATTTGCTAATCAGAGCACCTAGCATGGGAATACGCGCTTCCACCCGACATATGAACATGGTCGAACTTCAGCGCTCTCAAAGTTCTCCTGAGAGACCGATGCGGCGGCCAGATTACTCGAGTCGTAGATTCAATACTCGTAGCGTATACTCAGTACTCAACTCTTCATGACTCCGCCACGGCTATCACGTATACTTAGCAGAATAGTACCTGACGGACAAAGTATGGCATAGACGGGTGGTAAAAGGATATCAGTAATCAACAACGTTCAGGGGTAAATAAGCCTGGTTTGGACCTCAATCTTGATTCCAGGTGTTGGAACCATATTTGCCTAACCAAGCATGATGAAGAGCCCCAGTACGACTGTTGAGAGACCTTTTTAAGGAAACATTGATGAACAGCAATAAACAAGAGCCACAAGAATTCGCATGCTAGCTAGAGCCCAAGAACAGCTCTAGGTTAGTACCTTGACTTCAATATTTCCTCCTGACCAAACTGAGGTCGTTTCCCCGGACTTCTCCAGTGTTTGGAAACTCGCCGTCATCTTGCAATATTTCTTCTCCAATCTTGATGCCTAAGACAGGAGAAGAGTCTATCATGGATCATCATTCCTAGAATGTAGTCAGGAAAGAGCCCTAGCGGAGAAAAAGACGATGGGACAAGTTTTCCAAGGCCGTCAAGGAGAAGATACTCTATGAGGGCTCGATAAGAGTAGGGTAATGCATCCAAAGCGGCTTCACAAAGCATAATGCATTCCACTTATCGCTAGTTGAGGCAAAGCATTCACTCATGCCTAAAGCTGAAACCTACGTGGCCAGCAGAAACTAAGCAATGAAACTACTTCTTTCTCAGTCGGTGTCAGGAGCGGTGACTCTTGTTGATCTCCTGATCACTCAAATGCTTTGTGCACCTCTTGGCAATTTATTTCACTGTTTGTCTGCAAATTCCTATTGGTCGCTCGAATCTTGACCTCGACAGCATTCAGTCTATTCCTTTGTGCAAGTTCCATTGTTGGCTTCGTGTTGTTCGCATACGTCTCGGGTATAAAGACTTGATCTGTCCCATGCCTTTAATGGGGTCGCTCTTGGAACCTTTGGATCTGTAGGCCCGATATTCGAAGTAGGTTCCTTGCGAAAGGGAGCTATGCACGATTACTGTAAATCAAGAGACTAGAAAGCGAGGCTCTAGCACAGCAGAAACGCCGACACCGTCCACGAAGAGGCAGCAAATGAGGTTTCTCAACGATCGAACAGAATCCTCAATAGAGGAACAGGTGACCGTCAACGACGCCAATATGTATGAGAAACAATACGACTACGGTGACTGCCCTATAAAGCATGGAGAGATTCGCCTTATGATCCTCAAACCAGATGCGCACCATTCGGCTGAGATTGTTGTTCAGCTGAGAGTAGTCTCCATCCAAGAGATTATAGGATACCCCCAGGCTTTCAAATACACGGCTCTATCACACAATTGGGGTAGTGAGGACGAGAGCAAGACTGTCTTTGTTGACGCGTCTCATGGCCATGGACCGCAAGCCGTGTCCGTGGTGAACGGCTTTTCAACGGACGCGCCAAATTCCCTTCAGAAGATGGAGCGAGTGAGTATCAAACCGAACCTATACGCATTTCTCCAAGAATTACGACTACCAGATCGAGAGGTAGCCCTGTGGGTGGATCGAATTTGCATCAACCAGAAGGACCACAAGGAGAAACAAAGCCAAGTCGCAATTATGGGACAGATTTACTCTGCCGCAGCCAGCGTTACCATTTGGCTGGGACCAGCAGACAAGAACGCCAAGACTGACCGAGCCATGGATTTCATCAACCTCTTACTCCAAGACAACATGAGAGATGTATTCGGAGACGATTACGCAACGGACTGTTTAGCGCTTCTGCACTTGATGTGTCGTCCGGTTTTCTCGCGTCGATGGATCATCCAAGAGCTGGCCGTGGCAAAAAGTATCGAAGTGCGATGCGGCTCCAAGACAGTGAAATGGAGAGACTTTGCATATGCGGTCAGCAGCCTTGCTGACCAACTGGATCATATCCTCGAGGTGATCAAACGGAATTCGACACAGGTGAAGTCTCTGGAGGGAATTAAAGAAAAGAAGTCACTTGGTGCCTGGAATCTGGTCGACGCTCTTACCAATATTTTCCAACGACAGGTTGACGGAAGTATCTACGCTCCACGGCAGGGGCTTGAAAGTCTTGTCTCTTCGCTGTCAACTTTCAAGACGTCCGATCCTAGAGATACGATATATGCGCTTCTCGATCTAGCTACGGAGACATGCAAACTTTCGCTGAGCAACAACTTACAGCAACACCAGCGGATTATACTGCGGTGGAACCCTGCTCCGGAGCCCGACTACAGCATCGATTTGCTCCATCTTTACACAAAGTTCACCAAATGGTGTATCGGCGAGAGTCATTCTTTAGACATTATCTGCCGTCGGTGGGCGCTCCCCGAGCTTGAACAGAAGCTAGATGAGCAGTACCCAGAGCTTATGAAGCTGCCGTCATGGATCAAAACGGTAGAGGAATCTGAGTCTCGTCCCCAAAATGAAGGCCTAAGCGGACGGAAAACAGCGAATAGTCTTGTTGGCCTACCTGGGAACTGCTGTTACAACGCTTCAAATGGCCATTTCCCCAACGTTGAGTTCAGGAGGGACAAGACACCTAAGCCGGTTGAAGGCTTTCCGCCAGACAGCCTCTGCGCGCAATCGCAGATAATTTCCGACATGAACCTGACGATGACGATCAGAGGACGGTCAATTGGAGTCGTCTCAGAATTTCATCCAATGCACGGCGGCATCATTCCGAGTAAAGTTCTACTGAGTCTAGGTCATGTTCCGAGCATAGAGCCGCAAAATGTCCCGGACGCTGTCTGGAGAATACTCGTAGCAGACCGGGATGTAAACGGAAGAGCAGTGCCGGGCTGGTATCGACGAGCTTGCATGGAATGTCTGTCGGCCGTCACTGATGCTGGGGACATGGACACCAATGCAATTCTTCAACGGTGCGACCCTCCAACGGATTTCGGGGCAGCTTACTTGAAGAGAGTACAGGCTGTCTGTTTCAACAGGAACTATATCGGATGCGAGGATGCGAACGGGAAGAATGAGAAGTTGGTAGGAATAGCTCCTCTGGATTCCAAGGTCGGCGATGTCGTGTGCATTCTTTTCGGGTGCTCCGTCCCTTGTATTCTCCGGCCTTTCTGGGATGAGAGATGGCGTGAATCTCAGCCTTCATATTACAAGCTTGTCGGAGAGGCTTTCGTTCTTGGGCAGATGGACGGCGAAGCACTTGATGGGCTGACGGAGAAGGAGTTGACAGGAGAGGAGTTTTCTTTGATGTGAAGCGATGTCTCCAATCTGAAGTTCAATATGTACCTCACGCAGTTCACCTTCACAATGACACAGAAACCTGATTTGACAGAACCGGTGTTAGCGACTTGTGGAATGCGATTAGCTCCATGTTAGTTTTTCTTGGTGCAAGAGCTTGACGAAGCCGGAAAGTTCGGCTTATGATGTAATAGTCTTCTAAGAGTCAAACATGTCACCACACAGACCCGCCGAGGCAGACCACATCCGTCACACCACGAACAACCCCTTCTCCACGGACATCCGCAACATAAAACATCAATTCGGACTACTACCTCTTTGACAGTCGTTGCTTCGGACATTGAACAAGTAGATATTCTAGACTTTTTCTAGCTCACCTTTTCCCATCGGAACTCATTACTCTACACGAACTACATCTTCACCAATTCAACGTCATCTCTCTCACAAGCACGAGTCATGTTTCTCTCAAACAGAGCGCCCGAGAAGGCCCTTCCCCGCTTCCAGACAAACACGCCACTGGATTCAACGTTCGATACAGATATTCGGGATACGCATCTCATCTATGATTATGATGCCGAAGACGCGGAGGGCAACCCGGAAAAGTGGAGGTACGAAATGTGGTTCTTTTCCGAGGACCGTGTTGTCTATGCCATCCACGGTGGGCCCATGAACGGCCGCATAAACTACCAGACGGCGACTTATCAATGCATTCGACCCGGTGAACTGTGGCAGGTCAACTGGTTGGAGGAGACGGGAACGGTCTGCTCCTTGGTGTACGATATTCCCAAGCAGAAGATTTCGACTCTCATCTCATTCTCAAGAGGGCACTGGGAGAACCCCCAGGCGGCACATGGTGATAAGCGCAATCCGGGAGACTTTGCGAGATGGAGAGTTCTCTCGAGATTCGGAAACCAGACAGATAGGTTCATGTTGTCTGAACAGGCAGATATTGTCGAAAACTTCAAGGGAAGAGGGGATCTTGTGCCGATCGAGGAGCACGCGAAAACGTTCTGAGTCTGTCTGCAATGGGCATTGTGCTTTTAAGATGACAACCTGTATAACTAAGAGCCGGAGTTAAATCAAACAACATGCACCCTACTGTTTCCCATCGCAATTGGCAGTGGGAACCCTGGTGTCAAGACCAAGTTCATTCTACCGGCACACCTTCGTTCTGCCGATTGACGGATCATTCTCAACAACACATTTCAGACCATTGCAACATCTCGTGAAGAAGGGATCTTTGTCGTTGCAGAAGTCTACACTGGTCAGGAAACTGCCTGAGAAGCGAGAAGAGGCAACCGATTATGGCACCTGAAGACTTACTATCAGCGGTTCTGCAGTTATCTTGACGTTTGAACAGATCACCTCCATCACCGTCCAGCTAAAATGTATTAGTTAGACACGAAATGTTGACTGTATTGATTAGGAAGGCTTACCGAGCGCGATACGGCAGCCGAGGTAACAGCCATGAGTACTGCAATAACGGCGAGAGACTTCATGGCTTTGGCTAAGAGGACTTATGAGGAAGAAAAATACTTTAGGACGTGAGGAAGCAACAAAGATGAGATTGTAGGAACGCAAGCTGTAAGGCTCTGGAAGGACTGAATAAGCATCTGTTTGATGGTCAAAAAGGATTCCTTTCGTTTGGATGGCAGTTGTTCACTCGCTTTTTATATCTATTTTCTAAGGGTCGAATCCCCAGATTCCTGTCAACCCAGCCCGGCATCCTGGCTCAGGGACTTGGCAGTTTGTGGAGTCTCTACCTGCCGCGGTATCAAGTATGCTTGAGCATAGTTGTCCAGAATAGTTTGTCATACCAAACGACCGGTAAAGTCTAATATCAAGCAGCCAAGCGAGGGAACTCATGGGTGAGACTAGGAAATGCTAGATGAAGACTTCAGCTAAAAAAGTGGCCATGCCACGCACTGAATCTAGCCGCAACACAACATGAATTGTCCTTGAACAGCTCCTACGAGCGGTGATGCCGGTCTAAGCCTCTGCGTCGCTTTCGGTTCAGTTGCGTGGAGGGTTCGTCTGAAACAGTCGTCTGAGACTCAGAAGTTTAACCACCACCTCGGATTAGTATTCAATGTTAAAGATGTAGAGAGACGGTGGAATTATCTTCCCGCTTTTACATCACTACCAAGAGTCATTGAGTTTCTCTGTGGTGTTTGATTTCGCCGAGATACATCGGAGTTTCGCATACATATCCGTCGGAGTGAATCAGGAATCCGGCTCTGCTTCCAAATGTATTCTTCAAATGCTATGATGGAACTAACTAAGCTTCCAGCGGAACTAATGTCTGTGGTATCATGGGTAGCAAGAAACAATCTACTCCAATCTGTAAACCCATGCCTTTTGGGGTGACAAAGTCCCCTGGATGATGTTTTTCCATGCTTTTTCGATCCCATTTGTACCTCCAACACCACTTCCCCAAACCAGCTCAAGGTCTGCTACGCTCTCCTCCTCAAGGAACCTTCGGAACGTTGATTCAGCGCCGTCAAAGTATTTACCTGCATCCTCTACAGCAATTCCAGCGTCTACAATGCCAGTCGTGTTGAGCTGAACAAGTCCCCACTTCTTGAATATCGCCATCGACTTGAGGGCCTCCTCTGGTGCCATGATCTTTGGCTCTCCTCCGACTTGGATGTTGGTGAATACGGCCGACTCTGGGAGCGTTGATTTGATGGCCTCGCGGAACTCCTCTGTCTCCTTCGGACGGCCACCAAAGTCAGCTACAACCACGCGTTTGGGTTGCAGTTTCGCGATCCAGTCAATCGTATTTTTTGCGGCGAGCTCGGAGTAGTTGACCGTCTTGATCTCGAACGCTGCCTTTGGGATGGCTCTCAGAGAATCTGGCGCAGAAGTGGCTTGGAGGAGAGCCAGAGGCCCCGCACCTGACTTTCTGTCTCTAGCCAAGTTCCACGAGAATGATCTGCCGGTACGGCTGGATGCCGAGAGACTGACCACAACGGCTGAGCTCAGGTCCGCATCCTTTTCGGTCCACTCCCCGGCTCCGGCGCCGAGAGGATGAACCGGCTTAAATTCCGTAGCGAAGGTGAAGCGGTTCATGACATAACCGCAATTCCAAATGGGAGAGACGTTGGCAAACCATGCCCGGTACTCTTCCGACTGAGCAGACTCGTCGACAAGGTTGTAGCGATTGTAAATGTTCCCAAGTCCCTGCCTGTGTTCGCTGACCTCGCGGAAATGCCCCTTTGGTTCGCTCGGAACGAGGGACAAGTCGACCGGATGAGATGAGGTGGGCCAGTACCCAAATAGCAGACTGTTGGCCGGGATAGCCTCGATGTTGGACTCGAGCACCCGCGCAAAGCCCCACGCCGGAACGATGCCCCACTCGGCCCGGTCGTTGTACGGTGCCGGTGCATCCAAAGGTACGGGCCAAGTGTTCCACCATTGCAGCATGTCGCCCAGCTTCGCATACGAGAGATTGTTGCTCGTGATCCCGATGAGGGATGTGCGGACGCGAATAGAAGAGACGCCTAGCTGCGGCAGTGGCAGATCAACTGCAACAGTCTCATGTTTGGAGAGGTCGCGCTTGGAAATAACGTGGATTTCGGACACCATTGCGGATGATTTACGCTGGGCTGATTGTGTGGGATGCGTCTCTCTCGGCTGGACTGTTGGCTACTACACTCGGCGTTTTTGAAGCATAAGAGTCAAGAATGATGAAGGGCTCAAGGAATTGACGTAGATATATCACAGATGCGGTCAAACTCTAACCCGGCCTTGTCTCACATCAGCCAGCAGTCAGCTATATTGTGAGGTCCAGCATTTTATCGGAATTCTGACCCCGCCGACCCATGCCCTTAGATCTAGACTCACCCAAAATGGCCGGACGTCAGCGTCAGTCAAACCCTCTAAAAATCCTACGAACCGGCCGTTCAATCCACAAGACCGAGCATTCCGAAAATTGCCATTAGTTGCCCTGCAGTACCTCGAGGTATGTTGCCAATTGAGTCATCAGCTGGCCGCGTAAGGTAATTAGAGAGCGGGGTAAGTCAGCACTATCTCACTCAACAACACCCACCAACAAGTGGGACTTTCCTCCAACTCGGCTCTGACCAAATAGATCGTCAAGGCAAGTCAACTTGACTTCTGCGCAGGTCCGAATCAAATGATAGCAAGCAAGGTGTCGTATGATGTCTCTATTCGCGTTCTCTATATTCTCTTTTTGTAAAGCCTCAAGCAGTACCGAATGCCTTCTGGTGTCCGACAAGGGTAAAGCGGTAGTGAACCTTGTTCGCCTTCACTCTCTCAACAGCCTCCTTACATCCTTCCTCCGAAATATCAATAGTCTCAACCCAAGGTGAGATGCCCTTCTCGGCGGCCAACTTCAACAGAGCGTTCATCTCCTGGTTGTTTCCGATGTGGCTCCCGGACATCTTGGCGGAATTGCTGGCGAAGAGGCCTGCGGGGAACTGAGGCAAAGGCTTGTCTGGCAAGCCGACCATGTGGAAATGACCGCCGACCTTGAGAGTGGACAAGTACGTCTGAAGGTCAAACTCGTTGGTCATGTCGGAGCAGTTGAGCATGAAGTCGAACTTGAAAGCATAAGGCTTAGCCCAGTCCTTCTTGTTGGTGTCAATGACTTCCTTGGCACCCAGCTTCTTGCAGTCTTCGGCCTTGTCCGGCGAGTGGGTAACGGCGTAGACTTCCGCTCCGAGTGCCTTGGCCCACTGCAGACCGAGGTGGCCGAGTCCGCCGATACCAACGATGGCGACAACGGATCCCGGGCCGACACCACCTCTTACCAAAGGTGAGTACGTGGTGAGACCGGCGCACATCAGTGGACCGGCATTTTCCGATTTTATCGCATCGGGAATCTTGAAGGTGAAGTACTCGTGAGCGCGAATGTGACTGGCAAAGCCGCCATGTGCTTGACTTCCATCCTCGTACTTGGCGTTGTATGTGTCTGGCAGGCGATGTCAGTACTGGATCAACACCTCTGCTGCAAAAAGTAAAACTTACCGACCAAGTGAGGGCAGTAGTTCTCATTCTGGTTCTTGCACTGCTCGCACTTGAGGCATGCCCAGACTTGAGCACCCACACCAACTCTGTCGCCCACCTTGATCTCCTTCACGTTCTTCCCCACAGCGACAGCCTTTCCAACAACCTTGATGGCCATCAATCTCACATTTCACGACTAAGATCTGGGGAATTAAGACATACCTCGTGGCCGACGCACAGGGGACCCTCGTATTCGCCCCAGCCGCCAGTGATAGTGTGGACGTCAGACCCGCAGACACCGCAGCATTCGATCTGCACATCAATGTCGTGATCTTCGAAGGGTTTCGGCGTGAGAGTTTCTTTGGTGAATTTGTTCCACGAGCTAGGCCCTGCGGTGCAGAAGCCAGTAAACTTCTCTGGGTAGCTCATTTTGACGGGTATTGTCGGGTGTTATGACTAAACTTGCTGTTTCTAACTTTGCTCCCTCGATTGCAAGTCAAAATGCACTGAATTTGCTGATAATTGTACTCTACTTCTGTTTATATACTCACGAGGACAACTGATGACGCTCGGATTGCCTCAACCTTCCCCGCGTCAGAGCTCTCATTGCTGCAGCCAACGTAGCCAAACCGCAGCTGGATCTCGGGCGCACAATTCCAATTGTTCAATATCTGGGGAGGATGCATAGGTGAATGACGTCTATGAAATCCCCACCAACGTCTCGGTAGGCGCCGAAATAATCGCGCTAAGTCAGGAGATAAAGTCCCGGGTGTGACAACCGGTGGCGCTCAGAGTGAGCTAGCTTCGCCCTTGGCTTCCTTGGGCGAATCGCTTGCCGGATTGGGAGACATGCACTACATGCTAGAAGCCTCATGACGACAGTCTTTTTTCATCGACTCGGCCCGGCAGCCCATAATCACTGCCATTGTAAATCTTCATAGGTCTGGAACTTCAATGCTGCCGATCCAAGTTCAAATGCCGATTCAAGCGATGCCAAACGGAGGCTCAGAGCCTCATTAGAGCCCAACCGGGGTTTCACGGGAATACTTGATCAGCGCGACGACACCGACTAGGGCAAATATTTATCCCAACATCCAAAGAATCTGCACTAGCCTTTTATCTCGAAAAGGAAAGTATGGTCAGGGACAGAAGTTTGGTCGAAACTAACACACTGTTTTCTGGAGATGCCGGGTCGAGCTGCTTGACAGACCGTGCATGGGGAGGTTGAACGATGCGGACTAGGTTAGAAGTAACCGAGCTCCCAGATCATAGCTCGTTCATGTTCACATATTTTATGAGAGAATGAAAGAGTTTCCACGACTGAAACCAGGATTTCAATCACTGGTAGAACGTTTCTAAACTAAAGGAGGAGTGCTAATGGACATGCTGGCGTATGATCTTGATTTACCCCCAATCCCCTTCCTTCTATCACTGGACTTCTGAACCTCATATTCTCTCTACAGACACTGTATCTCACTCGACTTAGCAGTCGGCGCGGCCAACGATGACACTCCACTTATCCTTGTGCCACGTTTGACCATCGATCCACTCGCCGTTGGTCTTGCAGACTTGGATGATATGATCCGTACCGTCAGCAATCACACCGAAAGAGTCAAGCTCGCGGGAATTCTGTGCCTGCAAAAAGTTAGCTTGAAAATAGCCTTGTCAAGATGGCATTACTTGTGTACTAACATGGTTACACCACCAAATCGCAGACTTCCAGCTGCAGCTCACACGAGCACAGGTGTTAGGACCAGGTGGGTGATAAGGCTTTCCCTTGACGCCTCTGAGGTACTTGGAACCCTTGACGATGATACTCTGATCAGCCATAGCCTTGGTGACGTTGCACGCGAAAGCGGCGCTGTCAAAGTCGTTTCGCTTGTGGACGGCAGGAGAGGGAAGCTCGAAGTCGAGGTCAAAGTCTTCCGCGTAATTGGGGTTGATGACCTGAAGCTCCGCAAGAACCTGCTCGACCGTTCCAGCAAGAATCAACTTCGCGCCCCCGGGGGCAGCCTGGACCTCCCACTGCGGAATGACGATGCCGAAACCATCGATAGGGGCCTGAAGCTCCGAGGCTTGCTTTTGGCCGGGGAGAGCAGAAACCTTATTCAAATCAGTACACGGGAGGGCCTTGAAACGAAGGGAGGGGATATCATACGCTAGCTGCGAATAGAGCAGTGTGGGTGAGGACCTTGCTGAAATGCATTTTGGAGTGTGTAACGACTGATGAAAGATAATGTGGTCGGTTTTACTAAGGCTCGAGTTACTTCAGGGGTAGGGTATAGTTGAGGTAATGTTGCTAGAAAAGTGAGAACGAGGTTGGCGGTCCGCTTTTATGTATACACATTCCAGTTTCCAAGGGCCCTTAAATGGAGGTGCATTGAAGAATTGGCACGCAGCTTTTAAGATCTTTGTCAGTGAAAATGACACATACGTGATTCAGTGCGATGTGACCATTATGTGTCTATCACCACCGACGTGGGATAATTCATCTCGCTGATACCAACGTAGCACCTAAGATCACAAGTTCGTGACGCCTCAAGTGCTCTAGTTCTTAAACATGTTACATGGCGCATTGCCTGGGAGACGGATGTTGACGACCGTAATTTGTCCCAGCCATGTATGTAGTCTTTACATGCAGGGAAGCACAATGTGTAACAAGGACCGCTAAGTGTGGCTTCTGGCACGAAATAAAGCAGCTGACAGGATCGGTATAGGAAATTGTGCACATGATATTCGAACGGTTGGATGCAAAAGGCCAGAATGGCAACTGTTTGTGCTCTCTCTTGGAGGTTCAGGTCAACCCTCCTCTCATACTTAGCTACCTGGTCTGTCAAGGCAGCCAAGATGGCGTGTTTCTCTCGGGAAGCACAATACGGGGATTGCGTAAATCATCATGAATATCCAGAAATCTCTTTGGTGGTCACGAGGACCTCTTCTTGGTCTGTCCGCCCTACGCCTCGAACCACGGTGCTTCATGATTCACCTCAGTACCATTTTTGAAACCTTCCTCAACTACAGATCATGATAAATCAGTGAAAGTGATAAAGTCATCGACACGTTGCATTTAAGGCGGCTGCTTTTAGATACGGGGTGGCAGCCGATGAAGACTTTGAGAATTTAGTTACAAGTATGGAAAGTTCCGTTGACGAGACTCCCATCAGAAATATTTCAGTCTACAATGTAGAATGGAGGGCCAAAGGAATCATGATGAACAGCGGTACAACGGGACGTCAGGCAATGTCAAAAATCCTGAGTTCCGATGCTGATCTCAGATCAGACGGACCTGGTGCCACGGCGAGGCCCAGGTACATGCCGTCAAATTTACGTCCATAGAGATATCCAGATCGGTCACATTGATGACTAGAGCACCAACGCGTGTCGCCGTGTGACCATCTTGCCATTCAATTATAAGCAAGTACATCTCGCGGATGGCATTCCTTCTCGACTCATAGATTCCGAGCATGAGACATCCCCACTGGCCGTTCTCGAGGCGTTCAAGAAAGTCAAACGGGCTTGCCGTAGGTGTCTTTCTATCTGTCATCGAAAGCTTGTGGCCCCCAAGAGTGAGTCCGGCCCAGCCCGACGATTTGCTCTTGTTTGAATTAACACAAAAGAGAGAGGCCGACAGCAAAGGAGTCTTGAAGTGAATGGCGACAGCTGAGCGACTGTCTGGGCAGAGTTCCGAATCTTGATCCAGTTGCAAGTAGTTACAAGCCGTGGAGAGCATGCCGTTCTCTGACTCGAATTGAAGTCCGCGCATAAATGGAATCAAGCACTCTGAAGAGTCGAGGTAGGGGTAACATATCCAACGAATTGCGCCAGCCCAGCCAGCCCAGGTCCATGAAGGAAAGAACTGCCTTCTCCTGGGGTTGACTTTGTGTTCATGGCACCAAGAAAGTGCAGCAAAGAAATATGGCCCGATGAGCTCCTTATTTTCCTTCACTGGCGAGTACGGTATTCCAACAAAGTTCAGAATTGGCGGACTTCTTTGAGCCAATATCTTTAATAGACCAATTGCAGCCTTCAATGAGTCGGTGTCGAATGTGAGGGTTCTGGTTGTAAATTGTTGAAGAGGACGGAAGAAATCGTGCAGGCGGCACGCTATCGCTTGATCCGTTGTCTGTTTCCCATCCACTTCCCAAGGTTCTCTATTCGAATATTTGTGTTCTGGTTGGCCCATGAAGTGACTTAAAAGAAAGATTCCGTTCTTCCATTGGGGCCACTGGATCCTATGTCGGGCGTCTATGTGCTCGACCCCGCCCAGCCCTTCCATCCAGCTTGCTCTCTGACACTCAAAAAATGCTTGATGCTCTGTGAAAATAATCCGCCGACGCGAAAGTAATCCTTCTTGAAAGGTCCACCCTCTTGTGAACCATTTAGATTTGAACTCCACATAGCAGGCCGGATGAGGTCCAGTATTCATGATTGTAATGCCTTCGAGATAAAGGATATTCTGCTCGAGACGCTCGGTCAGACTGACTCCAGTAAGCCCATAGGTCTCATCCTGGCCAGCTGCAGCTACAATAGTGAGCTCTGCATTGCTGTATATCAGGTCCATCCTGCGGATTTGATCCTCAACTTCACGTTTGTCTTCCTGGTCGATGCAGTATTTATCGATCCATAGATAACGGTATCCTAGACCTCGTGTGACTGTAATAGCGTCTTTCACAGACGCTGACATATCTTCCCAGAGCAATTTGCCGTCACGTTGGTGTGAGAATGTTGTAGATTGACCCCAAACATAGCTTAAGGCAACCCATGGCATAGTTTCAAGACCAGGCTTGATGTGGAGTGTTTCGCAGTCGATCAGCTTCATACCAGGCACAATCAACTCTTCCCGATGCTCAGAACCATCACAATCCAAACCGTGGTCTTCTCTACAGTTATCAATCCACAGCCGGCCCCGTTCATAGTCGAATGATTTGGGAATGGCTTGAGGTCTGAGAATCCCACCATGGGCGATACTAGGTACGCATACAACGTATTCGTGGTACTGATTGGCGTGGTTATCGAAGAAATCTTCATCGAATACGAGCTGGTTTCTGGGAGTGATACCCAGCATCAAGCTGTCTTGAGCCCCTGGTGTATTGCGAAACACACCGCGAGCATATTGTAAGTATGAAAATGCTTGGAGGACAAAGCCGGTATTCATGACCGCGGGTTCAAAAACCTGGGCAAAAGACTTGATGCTGCGCGACCAAAAGGTAAAGAGCAAGTTGCAAAGTGCGCATTCGCTCTGCGATATGGTCAGGAACCTGGTAGCATCTTCGTCCAGGACTAATCCCTCTGCTGGCAACGCTTTAGAACTCAACGATGTCATCGCCTGACCGAAATCAAGTGACATGCATGCATCGCAGACAAAATGCGGCTTTGATGTTGACATTTCGATGTCTATTGCCCTTGAATGTGGCAAGTTGGTGCTGCCTAAATTGGATCCGTGGGAAATATTGTGAGCCAGTGAGGGGTTCGAGCAGGATCAAGCCAATCATGCATGCTATGACCAAGGCGGCCTCGATAGCACTGCCAGTGTATCGAATGAGTGAATGAGTAGTCCAGGCACCGACATATTACTCCTGTTCCCTACTTACATAATCATACAACGAGGATTCAGCTTGATTGGACGTGATTTGAGACTCTGACAATTGGCCAGCAAATATACGCACAGCTTTGTCTTTCCGTATTGAATCAAGTTTTCAATTAGCCAGTACCGCTTTGCAGCATGGGATTTGTTTGGGTGAAAATAGACTTAGATAGATACTACGACTGATGATTGTAATACCAGGCAACGCGGCGAGATCTCCAGACTCAACCAACTGCGGCTGTCTCGCTAGCCTTCCTCTTATCGTCAGGGTACTGCACCGACATATACCTCAGATCTCCCGTCATGCCAATATTCCCTACAGGATTGAGGCCAAGCCACTCCTTCAGCTCCTCGCTACAGGTGTCCTGGACTGCCTTGGGAAGTTTGGCTGTCCAGTTGACCTGTTGACGCATGAATGGTGCAGTGTAATATCCAAACAGAAGTGCCCGGTCCTGGTCCTTGGTGATGTTGCTACCAGAGGTGTGCCACACACGACCGTCCATGACAATGATATCGCCGGCCTTACCTTCGAAAGGGACCAGCATCTCTGGCGCATTATCGGGCACCTCCTTGCGATAAACCCACTTGTTCGACCCGGGTATGTATTGGGTTGCACCATTCTCCTTGTTGACATCCGTCAGACACCAGATGACATTGAGCGCCCAGACATTCTGCCACGGATCAGGAAAGACGATACTCTGGTCCGAATGCAAGGCCATACTCTGCGATCCGGGTCGGGCAATGTTTGCAGTGAAGTTGCTGATGAGGAAATTCTCGCCCAGCACGGCCTTGACCATGGAGATGGCAGTCGGGTGAGAAATGAGCTCACGGAAGATCTTGTCGAGCTCTAGCAAGTAGAACACCCGCACGTTGCTGGGGTTGGGGTCCAGGAACGACAGGTATGTGTCCTCGCCACGAGCTTCAGCCGCTGCTTTTGCCTTCCATAGCCGGTCAAGTACGCCAGCAGCCTCTTCTGTTGTGAGAACCGACGGGACACGAACCCATCCATGTTCTCTGAGGTGAGTCTTTGCCTCCTCAAGGTCGAAAGCCATATTGACGACAGGCGACACGGAGAGTATCTACGTTTATGCAAGGCCGTGCTGCCTCAAGGAATATCTTCAAGAGACTTTAAAGAGAGCAGATTAAGAATCTCGAATCCCTTTGAAGCGAAATGATACTTCATGTAGCAGCAACGATGCACTGAGAAATCTGATGACTCCCCACACTTGATCAAAAAAGGAATGAAAATGAACGGGTTGAGTCAAAGGAAACGGAGGTGAACTCAATATATTCCCGGATTTCGTTTCCAGAAGCAGGCTCTGCCAACCCCGCCTCTATGCATGCTACCCTCGCATCGATGCAGCTTACGCCGAGTGATGAATTGCAACTACCCAATAGCACTTACAAACTTTACATACGATCGGCATTCGTTGGGCCACAACCAGAATGCACGGGGTCGCCCAGTCGCAATATTGATAAGAGAACCGCGTCAGGCGTACAATGTGAGTAGACGTACGTATCTAGCCACAGTATCCGTAGGTAACTCAAATTAGGTTGCGATATGAATGAGTTGACACCGTTGCTCATGAAGACCGCTGATCAGGGTCGCCGGCACAGACAAGTTTGATGTAACAGGAGCTCTAAAACGCACGTGGGCGACTCGTTGAAAGTTGAAGCAGCATGAAGACATTGGAGATGTGCTACTCGCAGCACAACGAGTGGCGCTTCCAGTCGTTGGATCATCCCGAGCTTTATCAAAGGTCTTAGCCCCGATCATTATCGATGATCACTGAGATCACATGAAGCTGAAGTTCATGTGAATCTCTTAGATACTGGTCTTGGGTCGCCTCATCCACCAGTACGTCTGTTTACGCCGTGCGGCGAACTCATCAGGTACGGGACACACATAATGGGGGCCATCAAAGCCCTCTGACGCGTAAAGTCTTCTGCCTCGATCCGAACCCTCTACGACCGCCTGTATCATTGAATAAGCCTTTGATCTTTTCTTGATGGGGTAACAAAAGAAAGTAAAGCCACAACTTACATCGACACCCATCTCATCAGCAATAGCAAGACCTGCTCTTACTAGTAGTCTCCCCGCTCCCTGACATTGGAACTCAGGATCACACATCAACATATCAAGTGCTATAGCTCGCGGAAGTGAGCCAAAGATTAGCTTCAGATGTTCAAGTAAATCAGGTGAGGTATGAGCTTCTCCAATGTACCAACCAATCTTGCGCCGCTCTCCTCGATAGCTCGTTGTCTCGGCGCAAGAAAGCTACGAAAGATAGCTTGTGCAAATCTCTTCTCCTCATCGTTCTTCCAGTAGTCGCCACCAAGCTCAGGCAGCGGCGGGACAGGGCCGTCCTTGTAGACATTCCACTTCGCAGCCGCCACAATCTGGCCAGTGTTCGTGTCGATGCACTTCAGGAAGATGCTATAAGGATCCCCATGAAACATAGCGAGCATACGCTCGCTACCCAACTTGCGGCCTTCGGAGGTGCTGTGCTCAGGGAAGACTGCATCGACAAATTCGTGGTCGTTGGCAAAGGCCAAGGACACTATCTCGAAGACGCGGGGGATGTCGTTCTCGGTACATTGCCGAACCTCTAGGTGCATCTTTTGGCTATGCATAGTCTCTTTTGAGCCTACTGATCGATCTCACGAGGAAGAATACTTCGAGAATGGCATCGAGGTGTCGGAGTCAGTCTCAGTGCAATTGAAATCTCTTCTTACTTGTTTCATGCTCGTGTGTGGGGCAAGAAATGTCCTTGAGCCTTTTGAGTTCCCTTGACATCATTCTGAGTTCGCTCGTCTCAAACAGGCGAGTTGCAGACGAAACCGAGCTCCACGGATCCGCCTGCTCAGCGGCGCAGAGACACCCTTGGTGTTCTTCGCCATCAGATTCTGACACGACTTATCAATAGAAACTGAGCGCATGCGATTTTGATATTTTCGGTCCCTAGGGAAAGCTCGCATCTAGAAACAATGCCGAGATAGAGCGGAGATGCTAAGGAAGTGTCGGCAGTTCCGTCACATCCCCTTGCTATCTACAGGTTTAGCTATGGTTTCATTGTGATGCCTATTGAATATTCAATGATACAAGAACACTGATTGCCTCGATTAACCATTGATCTATCCTCCATCTTTCCCAGACATGTGTTGATGAGTGATGGCGGCGAGATATCCGATGTCGTAAACTCAAAGGCGGCTGGGGCCGAACGGTCAAGAACGGTGATTGGTTGCAATTTTCCTGTCACGATCGGGGATACCTAGCTTCTGCAGCAGCCACCACATTCTCCCTTTCAATGGGAAGATTCGTTCCGTCAAAGTAGGAGATCCTTTGTGGCTGAAGAAGTCTCAAAGACGGCGCTCAATCGTATGATTGGCTATGAGAATTACCATGTGCTGTTTTGGGCATCCCTTGATCGCATCGAGTCTAGACTAGGTACTTGGCATAGTCATGGCAAATTCGTTGCGTTGCGGGCACATGTAAGCCGTCCTTAGACAATTCTACTCTTAAGGTTCGTTGGTCGATCAATATCGGCCCAGTGGGATATACTAGAGCCCCTGTCCTAGGTGAGATTTTGAGACGAGAGCTTGGGGATTGACCGGTGATCCTTCGAAGGATTCTGCCCTACAGCGCTAGTCGGCCAAATCCCAGACGATAGCCGGAACTTCGGAGTGATATCCAGCAGGCAGCGGCAACTTGGGGGCCGGCTTAAAACGGTTTCTCCCCCATCGAAGCTTACGCAAGTTCCAATCTTACATGTTTTCTTCGAAATGGACGCTTCACATTCGCAACCAAAGCCCGCTGCATCGAGCTCCGACTCCATGTCGTCGAGTCCGGACCCGGCCGATGGGCTTGCCCCGCTGCAGACCGTGAGGCGCGGGAAGAAGAGGTACGCCGCTTGTGCCAACGTACCATCGTCCTCGTCTAACAAGGGGCTACAGAATCCCGAGAATGTCTCCCCAGATGGCCACGTTTTCTCTAGGGAAGCGACCACGAGTTAAGCGAAGTTGTGCAGGCAAAGTGCGATCGGGCTGCATTACGTGCAAGTAAGTTGTCGCAACGTCTTGGCTCGTATTCGATGCTGACCCTGAACGTCTAGACGGCGACACATCAAATGTGACGAAACTCGCCCCTTTTGTTTGAAATGCACCAAGTCGCCTCGAGGGCCTGGCGTATGCGAAGGTTATGAATTCCAGCAGAAGCAACCAGATCGCCAACGACAACCACGCCTGATCATCTCAAAGGGAACTTGGCGGGTCTGGCCTGCCGCTGTCCTCAGGGAACCCGGCTATGAGTCCGCATTCTTCAGCAATCCGCAAGAGAAAGTCTACTTTGACTTTTGGCAGCACCTCGTGGCTAACATCTACCTCTTCCCCAACGACATCATGGTCCGCGTCGTCCCGCAGCTCGCGCGTCGTGAGCCAGCGATCAAGCACGCCGCCCTTGCCATGGCTGGAATGGCCCGCGCCCTCGTTCCATCGCTAATCAGGCGGTCCAGGAAGGAACTCCACGCCAACGGACCGCACTATGAGTTCGCTCTACAGCAATACGGCCGCGCGATCAAGCTTGTTCGCAGCTCTCAACCGTCGAGCGAGAACATGCTCTGGGCCATCGTCTGCTGCGTGCTCTTCGTCACGTTCGAGTGTCTCCACGGCGACCGCAACGCAGCACTGTCGCATGTGAATCATGCTTACAAGATGATGGAGACCTACTTCAACCAGCGCTCTATGGTCGAGGACCGTCCCGTGACGGACTCCATCCGTGCAGTGTGCGATGATGCTGCGTGGGTGTTTCAGGGTCTGACGATGCAGGCTTGGTCGCACAATGTGCTGCACTCCAAGGATGCTTCGCAAATTAGCTGGTGTTGTCGGGGCAGCAAGCGCACTTACGCTGTTGAGGAGATGCCAACGGTCTTCACAGATGTCCACATGGCACGGCGTTGGTGGAGGGTCGTGCAGCATTACACGTGTCATAGATGTCCCATCTACACGGAAATGTTTGTCGATGGACTTTCGAAGGAGATGCTGGTGGGCAGCTATGTACGGCCAGCTCTATCTCCGAGCCACCTGGATGAGCTGGCCGCTGTGCTTCCTGAGTTCCTTGGCCATCTACGACGTTGGCAGAATGCCTTTCAAGGTGTCTACGACACCCTGCGGGCGAACCAGGAACAGGATTTCCACGCCTATGTGGACGCCTGTAACTTGCGCGTACAGTACCTCACCCTCTGGACCGATGTCTCAAGTTTGAGCTACAAGGATATCAAAATGATGATCATGCTGACGCCATCATTCCGCGAAATGGTTCAGCTTAGCCGTATTGTTCTTTCGGCGCAACAAAACTGCGGCGGGTGCACTGAGACATTCAGCATGGACAACGGTCCCACTCTACCGTTATTGATTGTTGCGTGTCGATGCCGAGAGGATAGTGTGAGAAGAGAGGCGACAGAGCTGTTGGGCAAGTACCACCGTCGAGATGGGCTTTGGGACAGTAGAGCTTTCCACAGCGTCGCGCTGAAGAATGTGGCGATTGAGAATGAGAACGCGACCGAGGGAAACGATGTTGAGCAGTGGTCACGCATGTCGAGACGCGAGGTGCGCTTCAGTCGCGAGGGGGATGTGTCCGGCAGGATGTTTAGATGGCAGCCGGACTTAGAGGAGTGGAAGCATGTTGAGGAGTCTTTGTCGGTGGTTTGTTAGGAAGCAGTTTCGTCGGCAACGTAGCTTCATGTATTAAGGATTGTTGAGGTCCAAAACCCGGAGCGCGATCTCACGTTCATCAAGCAAGAACATTGCCCATGCCGCAAATCGTCTGAGGCCCGCTCCCGACTTCAACCATTCCTAAATCCATCGTTTCATCCGGTCATCGGATCGCATTCTCCTCGTTCAGATACAATTTACCGATCCTCCGCAATATCCAGAGCTTCCAGCACCAACTTTCTCATTTCCGAGGTGATGAGAATTTGATCGAGACTGTCGCGGGTGGCCCAAATCCCCTTCGAGTGCTCCTTCTTCTCGACTTGAAACTCTGTTCCTTCAACCGCAACTACGTAGCTCAGCTGGAGAGCATGGCGCTTCACGATCTTCTCTTTCCCTATCGACGTTACCTCGATCTTCTCGGTGGTGTATCTTATGCGAGACAACGGAGCGGTAATGTCTAATACCTTCATTTGCGTCTCTTCGGCAACTTCGCGTATGATAGCGTCACGAATAGCAGAATCCGTGGCGTCGACCTTTCCTCCAGGTATTTCGAAAACGTCTGGATAATACTTCTCGTCGGAGTTGCGTTTGAGGAGAAGGATGCTGGGGGTCGGAGTGTCATGTCGCAAGATCGCAGCGCCAACTGTCACTTTGTCGACTCGGGCAGAATCGCTTGCGGTGAAGTGAAGCTGGGCTTCATTGCGTGACATTGATAAAAACTCCATGCCTCGTTCGAGTTTCTGTTCACCTATAATTGCAAGCTTTTTCGTGGCGGTCTTCCAGACTTCAGACGTCGACCAGTTCCGAGTGGTGCTGGCATCCAAGTGAAGTAGACGAGGACGAAAGGAGAAAATGAAGTAAAGACGGGCAGCGGAAAAACGACTTTTATGACTACGTTGGTCACAGTTCGCACTAAGGGGAGTAGTAGTAATAAGGTACTAGTGAGCCTTTTGACTGGCCGCGAAAATGTAGAGCTATCAAGGTAGAAAGCCCCTTTCGACTGGATGACTGCATGTGATGACTAGATAGGTGCATTGCTACATTCATTCCAAGCATTAATATGAAAGATTTAGAAAATAGCACTTATCGTAAACCACATCTATTTCAATCCACTAGTGGAGTACATCTTCTACCTGAAAAGGAGGTGGCCGCGACTTGGGGCTTGATCCTAGCTTCCGGTAGAAAAGTTCCTGTAGCTCTGTGTCATCTTCTTGGAGCCAAATGTGAAGAAAATCCCCCAGGAACATGTCAAAACCTTCTGTTCCACTTTCTGCATATGTGCTGGCATGCTTCATGTCGGGCATGATGCTTGGCCAGTCACCAATTAAGTCAGTTTCACTCGCAGACAAGTTGGTTTCACCTAATAAATAGGTATGAATGCCCGTAAGAAAGTCATTATCACCAGTTTTGTACCACTTGGATGCTCCATGCCACCAAAGAAATATTGAATCGTCCTCGAAGTGGACCCAAACATTGGGATCCGCACCATGAAGTAGGAAAAGCCAAATGTAGGTCCCCCATGAATTGGAAAGCGCTCTATTGTCGATGGATGCGATGATCCATGTTTGCCAGCAAGTTAAACCTGATCCCGATCGTGTTGTGAGCAGAGATGGCCCATTAGGATCTGCTCCTGCTTCGAAACATTTGGAAATATACTCGCCAGCCCTTATCTTATATGATTGAGACACCTTCCGGTCGAAAGTGGGTTGGAAAAGAAGGTGGGAGAACTCATGTAGACAGAAGTCCAGAAGCATGTTGTGATACGAGTCCCGCTTGCTTCGACGTCCCAGTTGGTAGAATCCACCATCCAAGCTGATCGGCCATGAGTCTGCCACGAGATCGATATAAACAGCAATGCCAAGGCTTCCATCAGTCTCTGTGGCGTAAACTAGTTCAGATGAGTCGAGTTGAACACAATCTGTCGCTAAATTCGGTGAGCCGATACTTGGAGTCGGAATTTGAACTTCGAGAATGCGGATCAGTTCTTTGCAGAAAGTCAATAGTCGATCTTGAGTCAACTCGCGGCGTTCAAAGCAAGCTTTAACATAATGCCGGACAAAAACGTCCAAGCCTCCCTTGACGAAGCCCTTGCAAGGATGGAACAGTTTCAAAGATGCCAAGAAAGCCTGGAGACGGAAATCAGCTACGACGAAGAACTGAACTTCGGCGTCGATGAGACTTTTAATGTGTGGCTGCGACAAAAACTCAGTCACGGATCGATGTATGCATACAACCTGCTCATTTACCGGATGTTCGTAGCTGATCCTCTCAAAATGGTCGTACCAGGCATGAGTATGCAGGAATGCACCACTGCCTTTGTCGATGATCTCAAATCTCGCTTCTTGATGGGTTTGTGCAGTATCGTTCTGCAGGCTGCTCTGGATTTCATTAAGGAGACTTTCGCTTATATTGTACTTGCTCTCTTCCTGTGACGTGATCTTTTTGAGCTGGCCATGTTTCCAGCCACATACACCCCTCATCAACCGTGGTCGAGTATCGTCTGCAGAAAGTTTTACCTCAAGAAGGCCCATGCAACATTGGTAGACCGACCGTCTAGCTTTGTCTTGTCTTGAGATCCAACTTCCATCGGCGTCATTTGCGATCGGAAAGCCGAAAGCGAAATTTGGATCTTTCTCGTAGTCGTCCAAGAACGCAAGTTCTGTGAGCAGTAAAGGTAAAGCAATGTAGCCAGGATGGGCTTGCTCCGCTGCAAGGAGAAGCATTCGCGTCGCCCTCATTCTATCCAGTTTATTGGTGTGATTCCCAGTTCTTATGGAGGTTAGAATTGACGCGAATAGCTCTTCAACGCCTGCAGGCAAAGCTTCGAGTCTTGCCTCGAGATTCTCCACTCGTTCCCCAGAAAGAAGACCCCATTTAAGGCCTCTCAAGGTGATCTTTACCCAGAGGAACACGCCTTCAGCTTTGTCCTTGATCTTATATATGAGATGTTCAACTCTTGTGTCCTCTGAAGAATATGATCTGAAGTCTTCATTGTCGGCTAATTCACTGTTGATGTACGCTTCGATGTCTCGGCTCGTGATGTCTTGCAGGCGGATTCCAGGGCAGTTGACTAGCCTCTGTCGAAAGACCTCCCATTCACGGCTTGAAACGCACAGTTTTATATCCTCTGGGACACTCTTAGACCAATTGCGAAGCATCTTGATCATCTTGTCGTGGTCTCCATCAAACTCGTCTAGACCGTCGATGAAGATTGCAATCTTGTGTGAAGAAAAGAAAGTCGTTTGTCGCAAAAGATGGGAGAAGGCTGACTCGATCTCGGAGCTCTGGATTGAGAACGCTCTTCTTTGAGAAGCTTTACTCCACTGCTTTGGAAAGACTGTCTCGAGCAGGGCGGGAGCTTGCTCCAGAATAGAGTATGAAAGCGCCCGAAGCAGCCCATCTAATGACTTTTGAGCTGTGGACCCAAGCTTCCAAAAGAAGAAGTTTGCCAAAATCAGCGTCTTTTCTCCAGCCCAGTCTTTGAGATAGGATTCCGTAGCTGTGCTTTGGCAGAGGTACTTCATAAGTGTCGATTTTCCTGCACCAGGTTTGCCAGAGACATGGAAGATGCCTCCACCATGAGATAGCCAGTCTATTAGATCTTGTTGTGCTTGAAGCTCTCGAGCAGTTCTCTCTAAGGATATGTGTGACTGATAATCGGATTCCTCGTAGGAAGAGTCGTCTGATGTGGGACCAGAGTCCGGTACCTCGAATTGATCGGAGTTCTGGCCGCCTTCGTTCGGCGACTCATTCTCTCCTCGAGACACATGGCTTGAGCCATCGCTATGGCTGGAATCGGACCCATCGTTCGAATCGAAATTGCTTGTGGGCGGTGTGCTCGAGCCCAAAAGCCAGGAAAATGTCTTTTCGTGGGCGCGTTCAATCTCATCGAACCTCCTCGTCATGTCGCCGACATAGAGCTTCTCCAGAATCAAGCGTTGGGCAGTGCTTTCGACAGCCTCCTTCGAGCGGGACAGGATATCGTGGGCACTTTCCACCAAACCCGGAACATGTTTCCACAGCTCGATATTGAACTGCAGTTCCTTGATGTTTTTGCCCAAATGCTGCATATCAGTCGCGTTGATGTGTCCTTGGGCCGAAATCTCATCAAGACGGCGACTCAGTTCCGACCTAAGAAAAAGGAAACCTGTTAGCAAGCACGCCCTTTATTTTCTCGTTGCTTGACCTAGGCTTCTTACCTCGTTAGTTGAGTGAGCTGCAAATGGATCCTGGATCTGCAATCATCCAAGTCTTTCTGGAGTGTTTCCTTTTCATCCTTTTTCCGGAAATCCTTGACCATCTTTGACAGAATGTGGCGCTTTTTGGTCGACTTCAGCCCAGCCAGGAGGGTCATCAGCTGAACTGTGAGGCTCTTGTACTCCTCAACAAGATCCAGCAGCTGGGCCTCATTTGTATTCCTTGGTGCACCAATCGTCCTAGTGTTGAGACCTGTGACGTGTTCCTCGACGAGTTTGACCCGACGCTCCAGATCAGCATTGTCTTTGAAGGTCGCGGACCCGGTCCGCTCAATCTCCCGTGCCACTGTAACATTCTCGGCCGCGAAGTCGATGAACGTGATGATGGCACTGACGAGGCCGATGATCTCGAGTGGGGTCATATTTCCGTAACGTCAGGGTCGCAGAGGCAACAAGTAGGGGGAAGGAAGGTGCTGCCAGGTTGCGTAAGAGTGCAATTGCGTCCAAGGCCTCGGAGGGCACATCCGCCAGGAGCATGTGGGAGTATTTCGTCGCCAAACGTTGTCGAGAAACGAGGTGAAGCGATCGAAAGTGAGGGGTATTTGGCAGAGCGTATTTGAAAGGGAGTAACAGAGGGTTTCCTCGAGCAGGCTCTCTGTCAGACGATTCTGCCTGCAGGATACGTCTTGGCCGGGCCAATGATGGCAAGAGCTGGAGCGGCGAAGTTGCTGCAAGTTGCTGATCTCGGTGTGAATCTGACCAATCGCAGCTTCCATTCAGAAAGTGAGGCATTCTTCCCTGGCGACCAACGGCGAGACGACATTGCCTCCATGTCTTCTTCCTTGTGTTACCTAAAAGCTACCCCGTCGTTGCTATTATCATAGGTGTCTCATCCTCTCTTACTTTTGTCATTGTAGCCGCCTCCAGTCTTTCTCCAACTTTCACTGTCTGTCTGATTATTCGTGGACGAATATGACGGAAATAGGGTCGTATAGTGATACCGCTTCGAGAAAAACATATGTATATGTATTGACGCCATCTAAAGATTGATACGATACTTCATCTCACAGCTGTGACGTTTGATGAGATGAAAGAATTCCTCCCTGCTATAATCACATCCCTTCATCAACCCTCGCGTCAACCTAATCTGAATCAATCACGATGACCTCAATCTCCCGTACTTCCTTCGAGATACGTATTGATACCTCCGCCTCGTCCCTTCCTCCAAACTCCCTCTTCAACCGAGCCTCCAACCACCCCCCAAACCCAGCAAACATCCCAACTCCCTTCCACCTCTCACAAAACGCCCCCATAACCTCCATCCTCTCCCTCTCAACAGCCTTCATCCTCCCCTCCATCCACCTCCCGCCTCTCCCCCCCTCAACAACCCCCATCTCCCCCAAACCCCATATGAACTTTGCCTCACAAACAAGGCAAAAGTACGGCGGCTGTCTTGAGTCCTCACCTAACCCGCCCGTTCCCTGCATGACGCAAGCATAGTAAACGCAATGATCCATCCCAAGACAATGACCAACCTCATGAACCGCCGTCCTCGCAACACGTGAAAACCACATACCGTACAAATCCTCCTCCGCCAGCTTCTTATTCCGCGATGCCTCCCTCGGCACAAGAACGTTCCTCGACGCAGAAATAGCAGCGCCCATAGCCGTCCCCTTCACCCTCCTCAAATCAACGAGAATCTCACCACCGCCCTCCTTCTTCCCCTTCCCCTTCCCTTTACCTCCCCTCCCATCCACCTCCATCCCACCTCCCCCATCCTTCTCCCTCTCCATCTCCTCCTGCTCCTCCCACCACTCACACGCCTCCCTCCCAAACCGTCCACAATGACTCGCAGGCCACCCATGCCCCCTCTCAACCCCCATAACCCCATCCATCGCCGGCCGATACCGAAACGAACTGACTGTACAAATCCTGCTCCCACCAAACGCCCTCCCGCAACAGAAATCATCATCCTCGTCTTCGTATAGATCCTGCGCGATGAGCATACACGCAGCGTACGCGTCGCCCGGCAGAACCCCTGAAAGCGCGTCGAGGAGGTCGTTGAGGTTGAGTTGGTATTTTGCAAAGTTATCGGGGGACGGACGGCATCGGATTCCGACAACGGGGGCAGTAGGTGAGGTGCCTGTCGCGAGACCGATCATGAAGGCCTTCTTCTCCTTCCCCTTCCCCCGAGGAACGCACTCTTCCCACTTGACGAACCTAAACGCAGTAGGAAGAACCTTCACAGGAAGAGGATGATAAAACGCCTCAAAATACGAAACCACATCCTCAACCCTCGGCTGCTTCAATCCCCCTTCCACACCGCTCGACTCCCCAGATAAGTCCGGAACCTCCCACTCCCTCACAAACCCAACACCCCCATGCACATCCACCCCCGGAAAATCAGCAACATACAACGTCTTCCTCCCCCCCCGTAATCCGATTCCTCCACTCCCCCGAAGCCCACGCCCTCAAACTCTGCGGCGGATACCGCGGTTCCAGCGCGAGGTCGTCGTCGGGGAGGACGAGCGGGCCGGGAAAAGTGGAGGGGTCGGGCGGGAGTGGTGCGGAGTTGTTGTCAGCTGCAGCTCCGGGTGCGGCGGGGCCGGGCCCGGGCCCGGGATTGGAGTTGGAATTGGAGGTACCGGCATCGGCATCGGCAACCGGGATAACCCTCCCAGACCTCGTCGTCGCTGCAACGCGTTTTTCAACGGGTACGCGGAGGAAATTTGCCCTGGAGCGGCCGTAGGCTGAGGCGTCGACGATGATGGATGTGTGTTGGCATGTTCTGGGCTGTTTTCGGGGTGCCATGGTTATGTGAGTTTGTAAGGTGGACGGTCGAGATTCCAAAGCGCTGACGGGAGATGTAAGTTGCCTTATAGACGTCGTCCTCAAACTTCCACAATTATCGGCACTGCTGTGCCGTAGGATGAGTCACAAAGAAAATGCCATAATTTTGAAACGAGGTAAATATTTGCCCATTGTTCGAGGTACGAAGCGATTCACGAAGAGGTTGAGACGATACTTGGTGGGGGGCCAAACGACCCCGCTTTCGGCGCTGCTGCCTACGATCCCCCAAAAAGCCACCAGACTCATGGCCCTCTGCTGCCACTCTTTCACCTCACCTCACCTCGCTTCACCTTGCCTTGCCCTCAAGTATCTGGTCTAGCTACCTAGGTAGTTAGCTCCTCGAACCCCTAAAATATCTACCTAGAACAGTCGCCTCGCGAATCCCCAAGGCGCACCACGCAGCCTTGCCTCACGTTTCACGATCCAGCCCAGTCAAAATCCAGGGACACGAGAGAGACGAGACGTCCTGGTTGCGCCTCAGTCGCCCAAGGGCATCACATCCAAACCCACAATACCTCCCTCGCAACGCCGTCAGTCGCAGCTCTCAGGCATATACCAGACCATTACCCCCAAATCAACAACAAGGAGCAAAAGACCGAGGGATCTATGCAAAGGCGAAAAGGACGTCCGGAAAAGCCTCCTACATCACATCCTATCCGAGCAAGGCGTCTCGGTCCCAAAGAACCTCCAAACCCCTCACGTATCCTATCCCTCTCTCACCATCAAAGATGCCACAGCTCAACCTACCTTCGGACCCGGCATCCGCGGAATCTCTGCCCCTGAAGCCTGCCAAACCCTCAGACGAGGGGGGGCAAAATACTGCTCACGCTCATGCTCAGACAGCGACAGACAGGCGCATAGATCCTCTCGAACCCTCCATCATCAACCCGCGAAAACCCTTATCAGTCACCCTTATCAGTCAGCCCAACCAAGGTAAGGAACCGTGGGCACCAAACGGGAATAAAAAGGGCCAAAGAAAGAGTAGTCAAAACGCCATCCAGCACAAAGAGCGAGAATGAAGAGACACCCGCGCTCGGCCAGGTCTAGACCTCCTCCTCTGTACTGCCATCTCTAGTTGCTGCCTCGAGGCTTGTGCCCTTCTGCCCAGTGTCTCGCAGCATTCCGTGCATGTGCCGCGCGAATCGACATGTCGCCTCCGATGTCGCGCTTGCGCTTGAGCAAACAACTCAGCATAGACCTCTTCTTCCTCCTCCTCCTCCTCCTCCTCCTCCTCCTCCTCTTCTCTGGGATAATTATGCTGCAAAGGATAGACTCACTCATAACCACAACACAGCAATGCCGCGCCCGCACCGCCGGGACCGCAAATCCTTCCTCCTGCAACCACATGGACCGCGCGACCCCACCACCGCGACGGGACTACCGCCCGTCCCGCAATCCACATCCGCCGTCCGCATCCGCCGGGTCTGTCGCAGCGTGGCATACCGACCCTATCTCCCCGTCGCGTCTATTGCAGAATCTGGCATCGCTCCTCCTTCGCTCTCCGGAACCAAGCCTCATCTTTTCGCGGGATAATTATCCCAAGAGCAATGATCGTGTCAATGCCACTCTCAAAAGACGAAGTGTCCGACCCTTCAGGACTCACCATGGCTCAGTTGCTCACCGATCAAGCTTGGCCCATCAAACGCGCCCGTCATCTCGCTCTTCCCGCTTGTCCCGAGGCACACCACCCATCAATCAACATCTCGTCACCGATTGCGCGCCCCGTCCCATCCCGTGGTTTGCCTCCCGTTGGCCGGGCGAATGACGCGACGCCACAGCATACTTGGATATCCAGAAGCTAAATAGCAACCAGGCCTTGATGTATGCCTTTTGCCTCGGGGTCAATTCCTCCAATCCATCCCCCTGATGATTCGCGCGCATTGAGGTTCTCCCACATCCAGTCGAGTAGTCGCAGCCAACCATGCCTCGGTAGGCCTTTGTACGCGTCGTCGCGTGACAGGAAACAAAAAAGCTAGACCGTCGCAAAATCTCGTGTAAAATATTAGTGACAACCCAAAGAACCATGAAAACACACACAAAGTGTGTAAGCTCACCACACCATACGCGTCGTCGCCCGCGTCGCGGTTGGGAGTTCTCGACTCTGTAAGAGCAAAGCGCAAAAAAGTTTCCCGGCTCTGAAACCAGCCCGTCTTTCCCCGGAATCCCACCTCCGCGAACCGCGGCACCAACCACTCTGACCGAGCGCATCCCACCCGCATCAACCGTGGTGAACACCCAACACCAATGTTCACACCCCCTCCATCCCATCCTTTCCCCCCACGGAGGAGAGACGAACGGTCACCCCAGCGAACAGATGCCGTCTGCAGAACATAAGATTATTTCGTCTCTTCTCACCATGACGGGGTGAGCGCAGAGTTCAGCTCGCACGTCGCAGGGTCCTGCTCGTGCCTGAACCCAAAAAAGAAGACAAAAGAGCCCTGTCCTGCGATGCTGCATCCGAGGCACAAATCGGACGTGGCATCGCTGCTGGCCACACGTGGTCCAATGGAGGAGCGAGGGTACCTGGCAAGTGACGGGATGTGATGTGATGGCCGCGGCGGCAACATCACCATCAGCAGCAGCCGTGGCATTGTATCGAAGGATCACCCTCATTCCCGACAGTTGTTGAGCGGCAGAGTAGCAGTGCACTGCGTTGTGCCTGACATGCCGTTGGGCAAATCCTTTCCCGCGTCCGCGGACTACCGCCAACGGCCACGACGCTGCATCTCGAAGGGTGCCAGTTACAAGATATCCGTGTCGTCACCAACGACTCCCCCTTCACCGGTTGGGCCTGAGGTGAAGTTGCAATAGAGACCTCCCCAGGGCCTTACCGGTTGATAATACTCTCTCGATCTGCCTAGGCCGGACCGAAAAGTGAACCCGGCTCAAGGTTTCCGCAACCTAAGTTTATCGCTCGATATTCCCCATCAGTGCGCCGTCGTCTCCTTACCCCGAGATCACATATTGATCAATTCCGGGGTTTCGAATGTCTCGCAGCGAAAAGCACATCATCCCCATGGTAAGACGTAGCAAAGTAGAAAGTAATCTGCGGCTTTCTTCTTATCGCGGGTTGACGGGCGATCACGGGGTCTCAGACATTGGTGGCGCCGAACCTTTGCATCAGGCCGCAGCATTCCTCGGTCCCGAAAGCGAAAGGATAAAAAAGAATTCCCCGATCGAGCGTGCGCGCGCGCGCCAGTCCAAGCTGCCACGAGGGCGCAGTCTGTAAGGTACGGGTGGTTATTCGGAATTAGCATCGAACCTTTTCCTCTACATGCGCCTCGGTGTAAGTCAAACAGAGGGCAGACAGAGTCCCAACGCGCAAAACTCGGCCATTCGCCTTTTCGCGCGTAAGCTGCTGTCGCTTTCCTCTTCTATTGGCCAGTCCAGTCTTCAAAGTCGGATTCTGGGCTTGCTGGCGCTGTTGAGTAAGGTATTATTGATTTGACTTTGACGCTGCAGCGCCGTTCCTTTGAATGGAGAAACGCAAAGAAGAGAAAGACTCTTCCATGGCTCCAAAGCGGGAATTGGCTTTTCATTCCTCTCTCTCTCAATTGACTTTTCAGCCCCCAAAAGCGCCATGAAGTGTTTCCCAGGCATTGCCGCCACCAACCCCAATATCGGGGATCCTTGGAATCTAAGTCATCGTCGCAGGAATGTTCCTGTGAAGATTTTGACAGCTATTTGCGGTCACATCGAATTCCAGCCATGTTTCCGCTTTGGGGACACTTGCCCGTGCACACACGCAATCGTGACACCAACTGTTGGCGCCGATGTCTCCCGCAACGCCTCGTGGCATTGTGCGACGGAGTCCCAAGAGAAACACCCATTCTTGGCCACACGCCGCACCATGACGATGGATGGCCTGGAATGAAAAGCGAAACCGCCCAGGAGCGCACCGAGCTCTCCGGTAGAAAGGCCGGGGACTTTGTTGCCTTCTGTCCAGGCGGCCTGTTTGATCCGAACTGCCTATAGGTCATCCGAAGACGACCTCTCATCTCATTGAACGAGTAAATCATCCACCTTGTGGAATTATTCGCCGTTACTTCCCTCGTATCTGCCGGCATCAACTGTTGGGAGTCTAAGTAGACCCATGAACCATCATCATTACCAAATAGAGGAGGGGGCGCACGCGACATCAACTTTATCCAGGTGTCGACAACCTGGTTCCGAGGGAACTGTAAGCCGCTTCAACGGATGGCTTACAGGTAAGGACGCCACGCCCCTCGCTAGCTACCCTCTTTCATCCCAAACATAGAAGTAACCTACCGCCACTGTATCATCCGAATTTGGATTCCTTCGGGACCGGAGAGTGAAAATTCTGATCCCTTTCTTGCCTCTTTCTGTTGAGATTCGAGTGCCGACCTTGGCTTGACGGCTTGCCTGCGGTGATGGGTCTGTGGCTTGCCGCCGACCGATGACTTCGAACTTCGAGAAAAGTCTCGCCGCATGCAGATTTTTTTTCAAACCGCTGACGACCAACTGTCAAAATGGAAGTACCTTTTCCCATTTCTTCTTCTTCTTCCTGTT